TTTCTGGAGCTGAGAGGCCGTATGGCGTGGTCTATTGCTGCAGTAAATATGAAACAGAAAGGTGTTTGAGAGGAAGATCAACAATAGATGTAACTAATACAGGACTTATGATCAGTAACTCGGTAAGTCCTCTATTTCTTTCGTGGCCCTTAAACAAATTAAATTAGGTCATCTAAATACATGTAAACGGGCACAGTTATCAATGTCGCTTTTCAGAATAAAACTTCGATGTCTTGTCAGCAAGCAAGTAAATAAAATGGACCAGCGAAAGTGACGATAGCTATTATAAGATACGACAATTTTATGACTTCATCCGTAATACATGTAGCTGCAAGGTTAACAAAAAAAAACATTAATTATGACTTGCAATCTTGGACAAGCGTTTTTTAAAGGTACGTTCTCTCTGTGTCCCGAACTGTGTGCTGTGCTAGGCATTTTAAAATGGTCATTTTCATATTTTTTACAGACAACATGGAGATCTACAGGATATGCACCCCATTTTACAGTAAATAGAACCGATTTTGTGGTTCAATTAAGAGGTGATGGTGGTTGTGGTGGTGCGACTCCAACTGATGGATTGATACAATTTGTTAAAAACCCTCAGTACAGTAAGTTGGTACTTTTAAGATGCACACGAACGGTCTTCTAAAGTCTCGTCAAGAGTTTCACTGGCCGACTGAGGGCACAGGAGGTGGCAAAAAATCTCCAGTCGGTATTTTTCCACTCTGTCGATAATCACATGCGGATCATGCAATTGAAAGGAAAGGAATTTGATTGGAAACTGTTGCTCTGTCTTGCAGACGATAAGATAATCTATGACAAATATCAAACTTATTTGATATTATAAATCCTGTCGGCAACGATTCTTGTCGTATAGAAGCGCGGACACGCGTGCTACTTTATTGAAGATTCGAGTCTGCAACAAATATCGGCGACCAAGACTGTACACATGTGCCTGCACCCTTAGGAAATTTTCTTAGGAAACTTGTTCATTCTTCCATTCACGGTGGATCTTATATTTGTAATTTTTAATAGCGTAGCATAAAAGGTCATTAATTTTCATGACAGTGTTTGATAAACTAAATATCATTAATATTATGAATATATTTTGATTTTTCAAGTAATGCCAGTAGGAGTATATAAGCCTACCCACAGGCATCTGTTTCTATCAATAGTCGACTCTCACTATAATAGTATATATATGAGAAGGTGGCTAACGCTTGTCACGACCATCTCGGCTTCAGACGATTTTCTACCATTTCTACTGTTATAGTGAGAGGTGTTATCTCTAGTCATAAAATAAATAATATAATAAATGGCAGATGAATTGGGGTGTATTTAATTTGTATATATCATTAATGTTTAATTTGTGAGACTTAAATAAAATATTTACTTTCTTACTTACTATAATACTCACTAATTTTGTTTGTGTATTCAAATGTGAAAACCAAACTGTATGTAGAAGAGTGTTGATTGGCCAATTTAAAAATTACGTGACATATGAATATTCATAGCATCAGTCCCTGATACCATTTACATATCAAAAACATTGTAGAAATATCTAATAGTGTTGAAGGGTTGATAACTATTCTGATAATTGGGTTATAGGGGATAAATGTAATTTATTCATGCTTTCTCTGTTTTTCAGCTATTCCCACCGGTACAATAGATCCACAATGTAATTTACTTGGTTTATAGAATGGAATTTACCACTTACCATGTTATCAAACCAAAAGGGAAAAGAAATGATTGGCATGCTAGCTATCAGTTATGAAATATAAAAATATAAACTAAGTTTGATTGAAATCGTATAACTGAGGTCAGGAGTAGTTAATTATGACACTTGTGTCCCTCCATAACATGTGCGCCCGAGTGTTTTTAATCTTCATGGCATACATTCCAGATAGCAATAAAAATATGCCATGTTATCAAACCATGTAACCAGGCTACGTTATCAAGCCACGTAACCAGGTCATGTTACCAAACCCTGCAACCAAGCCGCGTTATCAAGCCATGTAACCAGGTCATGTTACTAAACCCTGCAACCAAGTCGTGTTACCAGGCTATGGTATAACGCCATATAACCAGGCTACGTTATCAATCCATGTAACCAAGCCATGTTATTAAGCCATGTAACCAAGCTGTGTTATCAGGCCTTGTTACTTGAAACTCATTTCTCAAAATATCATAGATTAACGTACGAGCGTAAACGTTATAAATTAACGCTTTGATAACGTCAAAAATAAAAAAAAATTTCACCGAAGAAGTTTAGTCGTACATTAATCAAAAGACAGTCATTCAGCACGATTTATATTATTGATATATGAAACGGGTCATGTTTCTTGTAATTCAGGCATCCCCGACCCTCCATATTTCTCTTGATAACGCTGCTTGTCAAATGTTAAGTTGATAAATGTCAAAAATAGTATATCCATATATATTGTGCTTCTTTGATTATGTTATTTTATATATATATATATATTCAATGTTCAATAATCATACAGTAGTACACTGAAAGTGTTATAAAGTTGGAATGAGATTCAGCAGTTTTGTCAATGGAGAATAGTTTTCTTTTATTTAATTACCAATATCCTCTTTTTGAAATGAGGACAAAATTCCTTGTGATAAATGGTATTAACGAAGATTTAAGAAAGATGAACAGTGTCGTATCTGAATGAAGTATTTCTGACCATAACGTAGTTTCATATGACTATTGTACTTGAGCGTCGCTGCCAGATTCACATCAAACGTGACATATTGTTGACCTATCCACTATAATCATGTATCAATTCGCTTTATGCTTTGAGATAGACAATCAATTAAACTGGAATTAAGTATTGCGTATCAACGTGTATGTTTTTTGTGCTTGTGTTTTTCGTGTATGTTTATAAATTCTCACACATTAACTTTTCTCTCTTGGTTACAATAGCATTCAATAGTCTATTTGATAGTCGGGGTCAATCATCAATATCTTAAATACCTGCCCTACAATAAACGCAATAAATAGTAAATATACCGTAAACAAATATTGTCCTAGAAAATAGAGTATATCTATCTTGTTGATTCTTATGGATGGAAAAATTTGCCCACTGTGCTTTTTTAGCTTTTCAAATTTTCCATGACCATTGGTTGCCATACACATCTGTAAATCCCAAGGAATAACGGATACTGAATGAAGATCCAAGTTCATTCCGATAATCAATGTTCGAATAGTCTTTTCTTTGGTACAATTTTCAGACACACGGCAAATTTCACTAAGAAACCCTTAGAGATATAAGCCCGGATTAAGTCAATTTTTCTAATGTTATGTTGAATCGAGCGTATTAATCCATATGCAATTCAACTATTGGATATAACACTAGATAGTTTTTTTAACTAAACAAAGTAAGTGGAATGTAAATATTACTCAATTTTTTACTTTATTATTAGATATTTATGTCTCCAAATGCTAATTAGAACGTAAAACTCAATTCATAAAAAAAATCTTTAAAAGGAATACCAAAAGTCTCGAAATTTTAAATTTGTAGTAGTTGTCTGCATGAAGAGATGATTGTGCTTTTTGTTATGTATATATTATGCCATGATTCTTATTCTAATTATGTTAAAAACCCTCTGTATGTACATCATAGCGAAAAGTATCTGATATTTCCAACATTCAAAAAATATCAATCTAAATTTTTCAACATTCAACGACCTGAATCTGATGTTTTCCAACATTCAAAAAATATCAATCTAAATTTTTCATCATTCAACGACCTGAATCTGATGTTTTCCAACATTCAAAAATATCAATCTAAATTTTTCAACATTCAACGACCTGAATCTGATGTTATCAAACATTCAAAAATATCAATCTAAATTTTCATCATTCAACGACCTGAATCTGATGTTATCAAGCATTCAAAAATATCAATCTAAATTTTTCATCATTCAACGACCTGAATCTGATGTTATCAAGCATTCAAAAATATCAATCTGAATTTTTCAACATTCAACGACCTGAATCTGATGTTATCAAACATTCAAAAATATCAATCTGAATTTTTCATCATTCAACGACCTGAATCTGATGTTATCAAACATTCAAATATATCAATCTAAACTTTTCATCATTCAACGACCTGAATCTGATGTTATCAAACATTCAAAAATATCAATCTGAATTTTTCATCATTCAACGACGTGAATCTGATGTTATCAAGCATTCAAATATATCAATCTGAATTTTTCATCATTCAACGACCTGAATCTGATGTTATCAAACATTCAAATATATCAATCTAAACTTTTCATCATTCAACGACCTGAATCTGATGTTATCAAACATTCAAAAATATCAATCTGAATTTTTCATCATTCAACGACGTGAATCTGATGTTATCAAGCATTCAAATATATCAATCTGAATTTTTCATCATTCAACGACCTGAATCTGATGTTATCAAGCATTCAAAAATATCAATCTAAATTTTTCATCATTCAACGACCTGAATCTGATGTTTTCCAACATTCAAAAATATCAATCTGAATTTTTCATCATTCAACGACCTGAATCTGATGTTTTCCAACATTCAAAAATATCAATCTAAATTTTTCATCATTCAAAGACCTGAATCTGATGTTATCAAGCATTCAAATATATCAATCTAAATTTTTCATCATTCAAAGACCTGAATCTAGCATTTAGTAAATGATGATATTAACATGAACACAATTATATGGATAACAATTACTTTAATTAAAATTCAAAAATATCAATCTAAATTTTTCATCATTCAACGACCTGAATCTGATGTTATCAAACATTCAAAAATATCAATCTAAATTTTTCATCATTCAACGACCTGAATCTGATGTTATCAAACATTCAAAAATATCAATCTACATTTCAAAGCATTTGACCAAATGAACCTGATATTATTCAAATTCAAATATATCTAATCTTTTCAACATTCACCAAGATGAACCTGATAATTCCAACCTTTTTAAAAATCAACTTCACAAAATACTTTATAAAAAACGAACTTAACAAATTGGCTCTTTATTAGATATACTGGAAATAAAATATTTATGACATGTTAGAAATGTAGACTGATTCTTATCATTAAATATTAGATGTGTAATGTTAGAAATGCACATTCTTATCATTAAATGTTATAAATGTAGATTGATTCTTATCATTAAATGTTAGATAGGCAGATTGATTCTTATCATTAAATGTTAGATAGGCAGATTGATTATTATCATTTAATGTTATAAATGTAGATTGATTCTTATAATTAAATGTTAGATATGTAGATTGATTCTTATCATTTAATGTTAGAAATGCAGATTGATTCTTATCATTAAATGTTAGAAATGCAGATTGATTCTTATCATTAAATGTTAGATAGGCAGATTGATTCTTATCATTAAATGTTATAAATGTAGATTGATTCTTATCATTAAATGTTATAAATGTAGATTGATTCTTATAATTAAATGTTAGATATGTAGATTGATTCTTATCATTTAATGTTAGAAATGCAGATTGATTCTTATCATTAAATGTTAGATAGGCAGATTGATTCTTATCATTAAATGTTTTAAATGTAGATTGATTCTTATCATTAAATGTTATAAATGTAGATTGATTCTTATCATTAAATGTTAAATATGCAGATTGATTATTATCATTAAATGTTATAAATGTAGATTGATTCTTATCATTAAATGTTAAATATGCAGATTGATTATTATCATTAAATGTTATAAATGCAGATTGATTCTTATCATTAAATGTTATAAATGTAGATTGATTCTTATCATTTAATGTTAGAAATGCAGATTGATTCTTATCATTAAATGTTAGATAGGCAGATTGATTCTTATCATTAAATGTTAAATATGCAGATTGATTATTATCATTAAATGTTATAAATGCAGATTGATTCTTATCATTAAATGTTATAAATGTAGATTGATTCTTATCATAATGTTATAAATGTAGATTGATTCTTATCATTTAATGTTAGAAATGCAGATTGATTCTTATCATTAAATGTTAAATATGCAGATTGATTATTATCATTAAATGTTAGATATGCAGATTGATTCTTATCATTAAATGTTAGATATGCAGATTGATTATTATCATTAAATGTTAGAAATGCAGATTGATTCTTATCATTAAATGTTAAATATGCAGATTGATTATTATCATTAAATGTTAGATATGCAGATTGATTCTTATCATTAAATGTTAGATATGCAGATTGATTATTATCATTATATGTCAGAAATGCAGATTGATTCTTATCATTAAATGTTAGATATGCAGATTGATTCTTATCATTTAATGTTAGATATGCAGATTGATTCTTATCATTTAATGTTAGAAATGCAGATTGATTCTTATCATTTAATGTTATAAATGTAGATTGATTCTTATAGTTAATTGTTAGATATGCAGATTGATTCTTATCATTTACTGTTTGAAATGCAGATTGATTCTTATCATTAAATGTTAGAAATGTAGATTGATTCTTATCATTTACTGTTTGAAATGCAGATTGATTCTTATCATTTAATGTTATAAATGTAGATTGATTCTTATCATAATGTTAGAAATGCAGATTGATTCTTATCATTAAATGTTAGATAGGCAGATTGATTCTTATCATTAAATGTTATAAATGTAGATTGATTCTTATCAGTTAATGTTAGAAATGCAGATTGATTCTTATCATTAAATGTTAGAAATGTAGATTGATTCTTATCATTTACTGTTTGAAATGCAGATTGATTCTTATCATTTAATGTTATAAATGTAGATTGATTCTTATCATAATGTTAGAAATGCAGATTGATTCTTATCATTAAATGTTAGATAGGCAGATTGATTCTTATCATTAAATGTTAGATATGCAGATTGATTCTTATCATTAAATGTTAGAAATGCAGATTGATTATTATAATTAATTGTTAGATATGCAGATTGATTATTATCATTATATGTCAGAAATGCAGATTGATTCTTATCATTAAATGTTAGATAGGCAGATTGATTCTTATCATTAAATGTTAGATAGGCAGATTGATTCTTATAATTAACTGTTAGATATGCAGATTGATTCTTATCATTAAATGTTAGAAATGCAGATTGATTCTTATCATAATGTTAGAAATGCAGATTGATTCTTATCATTAAATGTTAGAAATGCAGATTGATTCTTATCATTAAATGTTAGATAGTCAGATTGATTCTTATCATTAAATGTTAGATAGGCAGATTGATTCTTATAATTAATTGTTAGATATGCAGATTGATTCTTATCATTAAATGTTAGAAATGCAGATTGATTCTTATCATAATGTTAGAAATGCAGATTGATTCTTATCATTAAATGTTAGAAATGCAGATTGATTCTTATCATTAAATGTTAGATAGGCAGATTGATTCTTATAATTAATTGTTAGATATGCAGATTGATTCTTATCATTTAATGTTAGATATGCAGATTGATTCTTATCATTAAATGTGAGATAGGCAGATTGATTCTTATCATTAAATGTGAGATATGCAGATTGATTCTTATCATAATGTTAGAAATGCAGATTGATTCTTGTCATTTACTGTTTGAAATGCAGATTGATTCTTGTCATTTACTGTTTGAAATGCAGATTGATTCTTATCATTAAATGTTAGATAGGCAGATTGATTCTTATCATTAAATGTTAGAAATGCAGATTGATTCTTATAATTAATTGTTAGATATGCAGATTGATTCTTATCATTTAATGTTAGATATGCAGATTGATTCTTATCATTTAATGTTAGATATGCAGATTGATTATTATCATTAAATGTTAGAAATGCAGATTGATTATTATCATTAAATGTTATAAATGTAGATTGATTCTTGTCATTTACTGTTTGAAATGCAGATTGATTCTTATCATTAAATGTTAGATAGGCAGATTGATTCTTATAATTAATTGTTAGATATGCAGATTGATTCTTATCATTTAATGTTAGAAATGCAGATTGATTCTTATCATAATGTTAGAAATGCAGATTGATTCTTATCATTAAATGTTAGAAAAAAATAATGTTAGAAATGCATATTGATTCCTGGGATTATCATTAAATGATAGAAATGCAGATTGATTCTTAGGCCTATGAATATGATTTAATGTTAAAAATGCCGATTGAATGATATGATATGGTATGTAGGATCTATTGTATGAGATGATTTGATGTTTTTATCTGCAGTCAGAGGAAAGGAAAACTTGTTGAGATCATTTTGCTCAATAGTTTCCAACCTTTGGACCCAATATTAAGACAATAAGTTAATAAAAGCTACTCTAGATCTTTACCTTATTGATTTATAGCCCTTTTTAAAGTTTTATTTCGACAAAATGACAACACAGTGGGTATAATCAGCTGGGGTTGAGATAAGAAGGGACACGTTTTCAACATGTAGATTACCTACACTGTAAAATAAATCAAGTTACAAAAGTGCACGTATTTCATTTATTGTTTGCTTTAAGAAGGGATATACGTACGTTAATGTAAGATAAAATGGTAAGCAGCTTATTAAGCATCTTTTAAGGCTTTTTTTTTAATGCTTCAACAATTTAAAACAACGGTAAACCATTATGTACAACCAATTTTTCTCATATTTTGCTTTTTATCAGCCACAATAATGTGGATAAACGATAATGTTCTCAAACATGTAATGCCCGGTATAATTATGACTATGTGCATTTTGATAATGCGTGCAACGTGTAACGATATATTTTGAAGTATATGTATCGATAGGGCCCCTTAGAAAATACTTTGTATCCCCAAATCGTTTCATAGAAATATTTCAAAATATTATTTTATATGAAAAAATATATGTCAGAGTGCACCAAATCAATTCTATTTTTACTCGGATAGAACCCAATAAGACTACCATCTTCGTAGCCTTTCGCATCTGGAAATTCATCTATGACAGTTGTCCCCGATTAAGTCAGTCTACACTAATTTGTTCCCCTATACCAGGAGGCTGGTGCCGCCGTTGATTCCACATCTATGTCATTTCTTATATTGAATTCTACACAATATGCATTTTTTTTCCGTCGGGCCTATAATGAACAACGATTACTTGGGAATCAAAAAAGTTTATTATGATATATCAAATTCGTATTTTATTTAGAGTGCTGATAATATGGGATGTGGAAGTAGTAGTGGGGTGTCCACTGGAATGCCAGCAGATCTGACAGAAAAAGACAAGGAACTGGTAAAAAGTTCGTGGGCCAAGTTTAATGAAGGAGATGTTATAGCTGATGGTGCTCATATATATTATAAGTAAATATTGGAATGAATTTAATGAGTGAGTGAGTGACTATGAATGCATGAATGAAGTGAATGAATGAAGTGAATGAATGAAGTGAATGAATGAAGTGAATGAATGCATGAATGAATGAATGAATGAATGAATGAATGAATGAATGAATGAATGAATGAATGAATGAATGAATGAATTTGGCATGGTTATGTCAATCACCTATTCTGAGTTAACTTCCCTTCAATGATTCATCATGACGCTTAATTTATTATTTCATTTTCAAATTTATAAGTTATGCACTCATATGCATGTATAATCATTGTTGCATATTTCAATCAGAGATCTCTTAAAACCTTTCTTGATACGCTTCGACTTCGCACTTTCGTAATAAAAGTTTGAAAGGAGAAAGTGGGAACGTGACGCTCTAGAGTACATAACCGCGACCTCTCACCCCTCTTTCAATAACATAGATCTACTAGTACGTCAGATATATAGATAAATAATGGACGAATCGATCAGTGTGTAAAAATATTCATTGATATCATTAGGCACAAAAGATATCTGAAGGGCAAACATTTTTGCTAGGTAGGTCGGTTACATACAAAACTACGTATAGTTCTTACATTGAAATATCACGTAGTGCACAATCATTTTGAATCACTACCTCGACTTAATTATACAATTTCAAAAAAGCCTCCGAATAACATTTTAGAAATGACTTTATTAATGTGAGTTATTTCCATATGTAGTTCGTAGAGGTCGGTTAATGTCCTACAATCTAACACATTACAAAATGAAACGAAATAAGGTGAACGTTAATTTTGCCAATTTTCAACTGTTGCATTCGGCGCTTTATTCCCTTCAACCTGCAACCTGAAGATTTAATTTGGAATAAAACACACATTCACATTTCTTGGACCCGACAAACTTCCATCTTCATATTTTGTAATCAGTAAAAAATATATTTTTGGTCAAAATTTGGGTAATCAAAAATTCCCTTTTAACATAGTGAATGTGTGTCATGACCTAGTCCAGCGTTTGTCCTAGAAGAAACTTTCACACTCCCGAATTAGTCGCAGTGAATTCTAGGTTAAGTCTAACTGCTACCAACATATAGTAAAGTACATTCAGTACATTTCAAACAGACATCTAAATTTGTGTATTACCATCTGATAGAACTCAGTTCCAGCTTTCTAGACCATTTTCAGAAATGAAAATTGACGACAATTTCTTTGGCAATTTCGACAGTTGATTAACCCTCAGGGCGTCATTCTCTCTATAATGCAGGCTATGGTTATTATCTATCTATCATATTCATATAGTAAAACAATGTAGACAAGTACATTGAGAATTGTAACAAACAAATTGCACCTGAACATATTTTTTCAAGTCAACAATACTTATAGTGATTTTGAAAACAATGGTTCAAGACAATAATATATAATATATATCATATGTAATTGTATTGTCAGAATGCAAGTCAAGTAAAACCATTAGTGTTAATTATGCTAACCAATGAATGACAAAAATTGCATCGGTTATTTCAGATCAGAGTAAGACCACTAAAAAATCATTCAACAGAAATATTTTATTTATAAGAGACTTCGCAGTTTTAACTCTTGAATGATATAATTGTTCATTGCGTAACTGATTTTGATCTTCGTAAAGTTGTTTTTATTTGTTACAAATAAAGAACAGGACTGTGTGGTGTCTTGAATCCTCGGCCTCCGCCATCCCGCCAGGTCATTTTAGACTTGATATTCGCGAATTGAAAAGCACGTTGTTTCGTCATACGTAATAAAAAATATTCCCACTTTTTATTGAAGTTTGCATCAGAAAAACGTACTTTTCAATTCGCAAATATCAAGTCTCAAATGACCAGACAGGAAGGCGGAGGCGTAGTAATAACGACGATCGCCATGACCAGACGATCGAACATGATGTAAAGTTTTAATATTTGAATCACCAGCTCGGAATCAATACCGAATTTTGGTATGAAATGGTTTTCAAGAAATATTTTCAAGACATTGTGTTCATCTACAATCAAATGAAACATGTCGTTATTTATATTTTCCGATGCCGAATAGGGCCTATATTTAGACAGCATATGTTTTTTTTACATAGCCTACTGAAATACCGAAAAGACATATCATTTGCAATAAGGTCGTTTTCATTTTTCAGATTATTTGAAAAAGCTCCCGAGGCGAAAGAAAAATTTGGTTTTGCGAAGGACGGCGAAGTTAGCTTAGAGAACAAACAATTTAAAGCTCACGTTCGAAAAGTCTTAGATGTATTCGAATCTGTAGTACGAGAGATAGACCAGTTGGAAGGACTTTTACCAGTCCTAAACGATCTTGGTGCCAGACATAAAAGTTATGGTGTTCCATTAAAATATTACGAGGTATGCCTCAGTCATTATGTTTCTTTTAGTTCATGACGATAGTTTGCTACTTGTTAGAGGTATTCAAAGGAGTTTCTTGCCTGTATGTAGGAGGAAGGGGGGTTCTCCTGGTCCGACTTTTATATGCCCGTAATTAAAAAAACCGACCAGAGTGTGACGTTACTATCGCCTAAACCATTTGACTTGAATGATTTTGAGACAGGGACGTTTTAATCTGGCCAGGGACCGATATGGAATCTAGGAATGGTCCGAAGGAATCAACTTTTCCCGATACACACAAAGGTTAAAACTATACCCTTTGAATAAGGTTATGATGAGATCTTGAAATTCACATCTTCACCTATTTTGTTCACAGAGAAGGGAATAGCTTGGACATCCATGTATAATGCAAATTAATGAGTGCGACCGAGCTACGATCATGGTTCGATAGGTGAACTTCACTAATGTCTTGGAAGTTTTATTTTTTGATAGCTTTATTATTTTTTGATAGCTTTTTATATAGCTTTTTAGCGTTATTATAGATTTAATTTGTTGAATTTTAGATTTTGGGTTCCTGCATTATGTACGCCTGGGACAGAAAATTGAAAATGGATGCCGATACAAAGAAAGCTTGGGGTAAATTATATGGAGTCGTCCAAACCGAGATGAAGAAAGGCAACGCTTAGAAACTGCCGAGTATCTTGAAACTGTACATAGACATACTATATTATTATAAATTATATTTGACCATTCTTCTGTGATATTTACTATCGTAACCATTGGTGCCTAATATTCAATGTCAATATTTCGGGACGATATTATTTTGTACATTCGTATTAAACCCATGTCTAACATGGCTTCCAAAATCTTTAATGATTGAATTTCATATTTCATGACTTTGCTTTAAAAAAAACGGCAAGAAATTGGCAGTAGAAAAAAACTGTGTCCGGGATTCAATTTCGATCAAATGTTTAAAGATGGTTTTCCTGTTTTTTGTGTCAAATTAAGTAAAATATTTTAAATGAATCATCATGTATTCTTAATCATATCAGTATGTTCTCATTGCATATAATTAAGGGTTTTAACCAATCATAAATGTACATGTATGTACAGTCTGGATAAACAAAAAAAAAGACTCTTTGACCTTTCTTTATCAGTCACTCATTGGAATTCTGCTGGTTACTCTCTAATTTTCTAATTTTGCTAATTATGAATTAGTTATGGACATGTATTAGCATTTTCATTTCATGAATGAAAATAAGGGAACCCAGCTTTAATTTGGATCATGATGTTTATTAGTACATGAAACATGACAAACCGCGTGTCTGGAATTTAACAATATGCCAAAAAAAATATATATTTGGGATATATATGAAAAAAGGACTACATGTATGCCAACCCCGTATCTGGGTCACTGTGGGATGTGATGAAATGTCAAAACTCCAATTTGGGATACGATATTAATATGAAATACAACTCCACAATTTATTCAAATTAAAACAATATTCATATTTACATAAAATTGATGTAGATAATATCAAATTTATTAATTAAATAAAAATAGTTTATAATTAAATTAATAAGAGGTGTGTGTTTTTTAGTAATTATGCTTAGCCATAAGAAGTTCCGGGTGCATTGAATATACACTTTCTCTCTTCCATACGCCATTAGATTCCCTCCTCTGATCCTCCCATCCCAAGTTAAAAGCAAAAAGTCACTGAAAGCTTTGAAATGATTAACACCTCGACTAAAGCCATGCATTTTTTTTCTGTTGGCAGAGATGAATGGCTTCCATTCAAAACAAATGCTTCGATATTCGGTAACTTAGGCCTACTCAAGGACAGATTCGCCATTCGTTTGACCAATCGCACCTTAGTCAGAGACATGGGATTTTTTTAGCTGAGCTAATCAATATTCGTGTTCACAGCTCGAAGTCAAAATTTGATCCAGAATTATCCGCATTTGAAAATTAAAAAGACGACTCGCCTTTTCTATAGAGACGCTACCATATATAGGAATGACATAATATACAGAAATGGATGGTGAAATTCATAGTTTGGGGTATTTTGAAAGAATAATACGATTTTCGTACATTCAATTACTTCTGAAGACTATTTACATATATTCAAGACTCAAATCAACCCCAGAAAATTGTGCGAATCTGTCCCTTTAACATGAATTGGTTTTGTGTGAGGCTTTAAGTCAGACCGAAATATTTGTCCAATCAAATTTAACTTTAAACAAAGCTCTTTGTCGACTACTTCAAAAGGTATAATGGGATACCTAATGTTTTTGATCCCATGCCTATATTCTTGCGCCTGTGCTCTCGTAACATCAGGCCTACTTAAAGGGACAATTGTGCCATTTTGGGGAGTTGATTTTAATTTTGAATATATGTAAATAGTCTTCCAAAGTACTAGAAATGTATGAAAATCACAAATTCCTTTAAAAATACTTCAAACTAGGAACTTTTCCTATAAATATCTTTCCTTGAATTGACGAGTCGTCATTTTAACATTCAATCGCAGATAATTCTACACATGGATTTGAAGGCTCAAATTTCGACGGTGGGCTTTGAACACTATTACTGATTGGCTCAGCTAAAAAAATTCCTGTTTCTGAGACTAAAGTATGCTTGGTTAAATTTCCTAGCAAAAAACAAGGCATAACAAAACCGACTGATTAGCGAACCAATAAATTAATCACAAAGCGAAACATCCAGGTCTGTAATTTTAATCATATTCCCAGGGTTGTTAAGTCAGATCTGAATATCCAATCAGATATGAATATCATGAGTAATCAACGTTCTGACAATAGGCCCACAGACGTTTAAGAAATTACATACAAATCTATACCTGAGAATAATTAGAGTAATCAACTAAAATACTAATTAATATCAACTTGTTAATGACCTATGAGAAGATTTAAAATTAGTTGACAGCCATAAATACCACTGATATAAATTGATTTTAAATAGAAGCCAGAGTTCTGCGGATTGGATTTTCAAACGACCGAAGAAACTATGTGAATATTTTAACTTGTGTCTGGCCACCGCCCGGACACAATATCTCGACATATTTATAAATGATGTCGCATTAGCTGGTGTATTTAAAGAAGACTCAATTCCACGCAAGACATCGTTAGTTTTGAACAATAGCAACATCTGTCTTGGAACATTATTCAGAATTTCAGATATTTCCATTAAATATGTGGCTGCGTTTTCTCTGATGTCATTAGACTGGAAAAGAAATAAAATATTAATTAAGTCTGATTGTGTATCAGTGTTTTTTATCAGTGATAATATTTTTTCACAGTTGGTTTGAGATAATCATAAGGTAAACAATAAAGATAGTGACAGCGTCAGTAGGGGTACATTTAACCCCTTCTTCATTTCTGGTTATTATAAATTATGAATCAATATATTTTGTCAAGGGAAAAAATCCCGTTAGTCCCGTAAAGTCATGAGATTTCCGCTAATGTCACTTCCCAAGTGCTTCCGCATCTGAAAACTAAACCCCGTCAGTTGCCCCCCATCCATTAGGTCAGTCTGCCCACTACTGAACCCCCACTGAATCACTGAATAAAGACAATGGATCACTTCCAATTTGTCATACGGTTGGTGAACCAAAAGGAAAGCTTTAAAATGACAATGTTAATGCCCAGCCACTGAACTTTTCTGCCAGGGCTTAATATATTATTATCTATATACAAGAACAAAAGATACTGACCTCTGATGAAGAAATTTGTGATTTATCTATGCCTTTAGTTATTGAGTTCCAAGATCTAGCTGTCAACATACAAGCGAATAACCCAGCCATTTTACCAGCATTCATTCTTTCAGAATATTTCTTGATTTTGTCCACGTCAGCTTTAATTAAAGCTAACCATAACTTACAATAATTTAATCGAAATTCTTCTGTTAATGACTGAAAAATTAGACAGATCATAGTGATGAAGAGAAGCATTTTGTAGATACTGGTTATGTCCTATACATGTATTTCTTATAAAAAATCAGATCTGCTACCAAGTTATTACATTACAGATTCATTATTTGCTAAACTGTGTTTCGATCTGAGAAATATGACTTTTAAGGTCATAATGAATAATACTCTTTATATAAAGTTACAAATGCAGCTTAAATATGAAAACCTAAGCCTGTGTTTTTCCCAAATGATACAAGGCTTATGTCAACTGAACAATCCACTTGTGGTAAGATTTCGAATCTTGGCATACAATGCTGAAGCATGATAAAAACCTTTATAAAAACAGTTTTAAGTGAAAGTAAGGAAAATCAACTAAGCTATCTAATAAGCTAAGCTATCTAATAAAAGTGATGATTTTACCTGATATAAACCATGATCTAGTAACACTATTTGAGTACCATGTTTAGTTTTATTGACTAGTACATTACCAGGATGGGGATCACAATGTACATATCCCTGTACAAATATCATTTCACTGTACAGTTTCCCTAGTTTTCTTGTTACCTGATAACCAAAATATAAGATATATCAGATTCAAATTCTGATTTTGTTTGTGAGGCATGAATTAAAGGGACAGTCGCACCATTTTCAAGGGACTGATTTGAGTCTTGAATATATGTAAAAAGTCTCCAGTAGTATTAGAAATGTATGAAAATAGCATAATTCATTCAAAAATATCTCAAACTAGAAATTTTTTTTTCTATTTCTTTATATGTCTTTTTCATATATGGCAGTTTCAAGAAAAGACAAGTCATCTTTTTTACTTTCTAATGCAGATAATTCTGGACACACATGAATTTGAAGATTCAAATTTCGATAGTGAGGTGTGAACGCTATTACTGATTGGCTCAGCTAAAAAAAATTTATGTTTTTCAGAATAAGGTACGATTGATCAAACGGATGGTGAATCTGTCTCTTTAAATTAACATATTTCTAACTTAATGAATATTACCTCTTCAACAGGTATACCATGTTTCTTCATATACTCTTTATCATCAACTTTCCCACCTTTACAATATTCCATAGTTAATACTCTTTCTGATGATAACTCCCAGTAAATCTTTGGTATCTGTCAGATTAAAAAAACATAATATTATCATAATCGCAAGGGAGTTCCCTTAAATGGATTCTGATTCTTAAATGGGAGTTGAGGTAAATTCTTACTTTTGAAACAACAATAAAACTGTCTTTATTTTTCGCTGGGCAAAATCCCTCTTGCCTCATTTTTAACTTAGATTGCAATATGGCCTTGCTTTCTGTTTGAATTTGAAATCCCATCTAATATCTGTGAATCTTATAATTTTAGAAACACTGTTTGATCAAAGTTATCTAATGTAAGAATATATATTACCTTTAAATATTCATAATCTTTTAAAACTTTGGACACTCTTTCACAATTTTTTCCTTCATGTAAAAAATCCAGTTCTAATGGAAGATTTTTCTTGGTTTCTTCTGCCAACCATTTATATTGAAAATCAGGAAATAGATAGGCTATAAATGATATTAGTATCTGAAAGATAGAATAACTTGAAGTGCTAAATAGTGCCTTCATAAAACTAAATTTTTACTGCTTTTAGCTTCAAGGAGAATATCCAATATAGAAAAGACTGTCAACTTACCCAATTCTTGTTTCTAGGACTAAGTTACAATTCGTCAAATGGTTGGCAAACCTGTCCAAGTTTTCTAAACTCCAAATGATATATCTATAGGTATATTGCCTGGAAGTTATGACACAAACCGTACAAACAGCTTGGGTTTATGTAATCATGTCATCTGTAATCTCAAGACATGCCACTTGAGTTCAAAGGTGAATAATATGCATACCTCCATAGTTTTAATATCAACAAAAGAATGAGCTTTAACTTTTGGGTGTTGTATTTTAACTGCAACTGTTCTACCATCTTTCAATGTTGCTTTGTGAACTTGTGCTAAAGAAGCTGCTCCAAGGGGAACAGGATCAATTGATGTGAACAAATCTTCCACCTACAAAATAAATTCATGTAATCATTCACTTCAACAGTTAGAGCATTTCATTGACCTGTATCACTTTTCATAATGGTAAATTGGAAAGTTTCTCCACAATTAAATAGATAGCATCAATAAGAAAGATCATCATTTTCATTTTCCTTTCATAAGGCAAAAGTTTGAACATTGATGTTATTTAACAAATGCCCCTTATTGAATTACATCAATCCATTTTTATCTCATTACAGACAAACTAGATACCAGATTTGATTCTCAAAAGGACTACTGATTTTTTCAATTCAAATTTCATATCCTACCTTGGTGCCTAAATCTTCTTCTACCACTTTGAACAACTCTTCAATAGGTGATTCAGGAGCCTGGTTGTGTAATACTTTCATTGTATTAACATATTCTACTGGTAATAGGTACTCTAATGAGCCAACGTGTTGACCAACTTTAATAAACGCTCCACCATTTTTACAACACATTTCTCGTAGGCTAAGAGCTGATCTTGTATGAACCTGAAATAATGTAACCCATTAGTTTCATCAACTGGGCTAAAATCACCTTTTCCTCTGTCGATCAATAAATTCAGAATTCTAATCTTTCTGGACGAAGGTAAATTCTGAATATGTTTCTTTTGATATGAACTTGTAATAGAATGTCACCTTTGATTTGATATCTTCATAGTTTGGATCATCAACATTCATTCCATATAATGACACTTTATAATCTATTACAACACGAGCTGCCTACAAAACAAAACACAAAACATTTTACTTCATATCCTATGTTGTCATAAGATTTCTAGAGGCAAGACATTCTATAAAGAAATATTATGTAGCTATTCAGTAAAACATGGATCTATCTGATTTTAATAACACTTTTTTTTCATATTGATTATTTAAATCAAACATTTCTGATATTTACATTTCCAGTACTCAATATCATATATATTATTTACAAATTTGAATTTTCAGTGGTTATCATACTTCTAAAAAAAGTCCTTAGACTGAAGCAGCTAATTCCAAACCACTTTTTATTGGTTCTTTCACATTAAGGAAAAAAGGAACGGCTCTTCTGGTAGGCTATGGTACTTACAGCAAAGGCAGCTCTTCCAAATCTAAAGACACCAATAGTTGACACCTCCCAATCATTATGTTTTAGTAGTAGCCCAGTACCACCTACAGTTGTAACCAATACACCATATTTAAATACTTTTTTCACCAGCTGACTCATTTGTCTATATTAAAAATTATTTTATTCTTTATTCTTTAGACCTTGTCCTCAGTGCATCTGAAAAGCAAAAAGAATGCTAATGAAATAAAAAACCATGAAAAAGGTAAGTTGTGAGATAATAACACTTACATAGGCCATCAGTCTCTGTACTGTAGTAGCTACTACACCTACTACAGTTCTACAGTTACACTTTTACACACAGTGCCAGTGGATGACCTGATTTTGATAGTGATGGGGTAGGTTTGTAATTATTTTTAGTGCAGAAATTATACATGTAGATTCAAGGACAATTCATATTTTGCTCTGACTACACCTACCTCTAATGCAGAAAATATTAGAAAGGAGCCTTCTTGTACAGCATTATTTGACTTTGATTATGAAACATCGACTGGGAATGACATCTCTACTTTCAGTTTTTGACCTCTTTTAACAGCAAGTTGTCTCCCCGGAAACTAAAAAGCTTGGGATTATCCAGACAGAATGTTAAAAGAATCTCCGTTTAATGTCGTGTCTTGATAATCAAGACTCTGAAGGCATCACGATATAAAGAACAAAATGGCGTCGTTATCACAGTGAGAAATTTTATTTACTAAAAAACAAGATTAAGAACCCCCTTTAAAGACATTTAATCACTCAGGCATAGATGTAAATCCCTCTGTGTCGTCGACTTTCAAGGAAATAAAGCAGTGTGAGAAAGGGATCGTTGAAGTTGATTTTTTCATTATATTTATTGACTAAATCCGTGGCCGTGGTTTTCGGTATTTTTGCCATTGCTTGCCCCAGCCCTCTCTTGAAAGTTCAAGGCAAGAAATGTAAACTTATTGATAGATAGCTTTTGAAGTTCTTTCAGCATTCATCTGCCTAATCTGTTACCAATTTTCAAATTGTTTGAATTGTTCATCATTGATTATGTTTTATAAGTTTAAAATCTTATCTTTTTCAGAATATTACCGGCACCATCTCAAAGATTTTACGACAGAGAAAATGATGATCAGCAATATAGATCCAGTATGCAGGTATGATACAGACAGATTTTGGTATTTTCCTAATTGCACACTGCATGGTGTTGTCAGCCTTCACTAAAACATTGTTGTGCAAAAAAAGTTAGACATATGGCACACATATTACATTAAGGACATAATGCTCTATGTTATAGTAGGTTATTAATGTATTTCACTTTTCAGGTTACAACTGTATCCAGTAAGAGAACAGCTCCACCTTATGGTCACAGGAAAGGATGGGTTCCAAGAACACAAGAGGTAACTAAACTGAACATAGAGTTCACCTTGTTCCTTGCATCATTGTGAATAAACAATGAAGTTGGTAACACTACCTATTTCAGTTCAAATGCATCTGATTTGACTATTGAACTGAAATATGATAAATGGCTTGAAAGGAAAATGCTGTCAAAGTTAAGACAGTGAGGCAGTCATTTGAATATCTTTTATCCATACTTATGTGAATGCCATATATATCATTGTATTTAAGAGAGAGACCACCTCATGTGCTTTCATAAGGCCTCTGTTGGATTTTTATGATTGATTTGAGTTTTCTTTTTGTCATATAGTTCTTATTGTAATTCATAGGATTTTGGTGATGGTGGAGCATTTCCAGAAGTTCACATAGCCCAGTATCCATTAGGAATGGGCATGAAGAAAACTACCTCTAATTCTTTGGCTGTGAGTTTAGATGAAAAGGGTAAAATCAAGTATGATGCCATAGCTAAACAAGGACATTATAAAGATAAGGTTGGTCTTCTATTTCTTTTCTTCTTTATCAAAAATTGATATACCATTTGAATAATACATTGGTGTTTTATTACAGATAATCTAACAGATTCAAAGTGCTGTTGAGTTAATAGGATTATACAATAAAGCTGCTGTACTATCTTATAGAGCTCAATTTTGACAAACCCTGTCACTTTTCAAAATTGATATCCAATTTTGGATTTCTCTGCAATTAGACAATAAGATGCCTTTGAAGTACCGTATAAATTTTATAGTTTCCAGGGCGTTTGTAACATTTTCCCACGCAAATAGATATGATGTTTTTGTTATAAACTAGCATCTATGATAAATGTTTTGTATGGTGCATTTTGATAATGTTATTACAGATAGTTCACTCAAAACCTCAAGATTTAGTACCCAAAGTAATGGAAGAAGGTGATCCAGATCTAGAAAGACCAGATGAAGATACTATAGCTGATACAACAGAGAAAACTAGACTAGCCCTAGAGAAATTAACCAATAGTAAAATAGCTGCTGCCATGCCTGTCAGAATGGCTGACAAACAGGCTCCAGCTCAATACATCAGGTAAAATAACAGTCAAATAACTGCAAGTTTTTATGTTGAAAGCAGGAGAAGGCTGATATGAAAAGCTATTCAGTAAAACAGTAAAAACTTGTTGCGTCTTAAAGTTTTGTGAACACTGTTTTCTAAAACCATAAAGATGAATATATTTTTCTTTTTTACTGAATTTGACATGATTACATACTAATTATGAAAGTCCATGATTACTTTTTAAAAAAAGACATTTCAATATTTGATTGTATTATAGGTATACTCCCTCACAACAAGGTGTGGCATTTAATTCTGGTGCCAAACAGAGAGTTATTAGAATGGTAGAAGTACAGAAAGATCCAATGGAACCACCAAGATTCAAGTAAGCTTTATCATTGATTTACAGTTATTATATTATGTCAAAGATGCAAAATTGATCCAAAATATAACTTCAAAATATCGGATTGAAAATCTGTAATTTATTAAAAGTATGAACTTACCAAATAAAAAATGTTGACACTTTGGAATACAAAAAAGAAAAGTAAAGAAGGAAGCATCTATAGTTTACAAAGAAACAAAGAATCATTCTAACAGCTGGTCCTGGTCTTGATCTTTCATATATTATCCTTAACCGTTTACAGCTGGGTTGACAAGAATTATGAGTGAAGATGACTCATTCAAGGTCATCAGACTATCACTCGCTGATCGAGAATTGAACCCTTAACCACTAAGGCACTAAGCGCTGTACCATAAAACCCAATGAATCTGGTCAATTTGGCCAAGATTGCTCTTTGAAATTAAAATAGTGGTGTTTTTCTATTTCAGAACAAATAAGAAGATTCCAAGAGGTCCTCCATCACCACCAGCTCCTGTCATGCATTCACCAAACAGAAAGGTAAATCACAGGGGGAACTTATTTGTATTGTTTATTAGCATCAAAAATCACAAATCAAAAGAAAACTGCAATTTCGCATAAGGTTGATAATAGTTTACAGTAGGCAGCTGCAAATTCTGTTGGTATAGTATGAACATTTCTCTCTTTACAGGTCACAGTTAAAGAACAACAAGAATGGAAAATTCCACCATGTATTTCAAATTGGAAAAATAACAGAGTAAGTATCTTTGATAGACTTGTTCAAGCATTGTATGGTAGTACATATGGTCTATGTTGACTATGATCATCTTTTAAAAACTATTTTTACTGACCAAATGTTTACTTCTTTGCCAATAAAACTTGACAATTCTTTTAAACTAAACAACTGTCCATTTGATTGTCATATGTATTAAGCATAATTAATCACAATGAGATCTGTTTGTTATTCATGAATATTTTTATATTTTGTAGGGTTATACGATACCATTAGCTAAAAGATTAGCAGCTGATGGTAGAGGGTTACAAGGTGTCCATGTTAATGAAAATTTTGCTAAATTAGCTGAAGCATTGTATATAGCTGATAGAAAAGTAAGATTCAAATATTTTACCTTGTTTTTAAGCTAGTTTTAGTTTGTCCATTATTAAGAGTACTTTTTATAGGCAGCAGAGTTGAAAAATCTACTTGGATTTTTTTCAAAAGAATATTGGAAAGTTGGCTTCAGATTTGCATTGTTTTTATGCCTGAAAGAAGTGCCAATGGCATAAATTCATGTGGTAATTTGTAATCATCATTGAAGAGAAAGCTATCATGCCAACAAAACAGCTCTTTACACATAACATTGAAAGTGATGACCGATCTAGATTATGATTTATATTCCCCATGAAGATGTAAAAGATTTTATGAAAACAAATTTGTTTGATACAAAGCACATGCTAATATTCCTTGTCTGTAGAAGTTATAATTTATATTCCTAGGCTAGAGAAGCTGTTGAAATGAGAGCTCAAATTGAAAAGAAAATGGCCCAGAAAGAGAAAGAAAAAAGAGAAGATGGATTAAGATTATTGGCTAGTAAAGCTAGGGAAGAAAGAGCTGGTATCAGACATAAAGATGATGGTTGGTAACATTTTTCACTAATGCATAAATGACATACTGTTTGTGAAATTGTTATGAAACAGAAAATTGCAAAAAATTTTGAAATCTGTTTCGGCTTTTATGGGTCCTGCCTTTTGAGTATATTTTCTTGGCTTACTTGGCAGTATTAATTAATATATTCATAAGAAGTAAATATTGTTGAATGGTGCTACTTCTGTTTAAAATCTGACATCAAAATGCACTGGAAAACATAGCCTACTACTTCACTTGTGTTATTGTAGTCTTGTTTTATTTCAAGATAAAGATGATGATATGGGAGAGAGGGAAGAAATTAGAAGAGAACGACAGAAAAATAGACAGAGAGATAGAAATTTGGCTAGAGCTGCTCCTGACAAGAGGTATTTAAATCAAACTATTATTCTCTTCTGCACAAATTCATATGCTCAACAGAAGTCAAATTTTGTCAGATATTAAGGGGACTTGTTTCACAGTCTGTTTGTCTCATTGTACCTTAGTCTAAATCACAGCAAATTTTTAGCCTTCAGAGTCATGTGTGTCAAGAACTTACCGTGTTTGATTATTAAAATGACGACTCATCTTTTCTTGAGATTCTGCCATATATAGAAAAGACATATTAATATAGAAATTTTCGTACATTTCTAGTACTTCTGAAGACTATTTACCCATATTCAAGACCCCAAAACGACCCCCGAAAACAGTGAATCTATCCCTGTAACTTATCTTGTTACTTATGACTTGTAATGAAATGATAATGATGTATGTGTTATAGGAATCGGTTACAGAAAGAACGTGAGAGAGATATTAGTGAGAAGATTGCTTTAGATTTACCAAATACTAGCAATTCACAGGAAACACAGTTTGATCAACGATTATTTAATCAATCTAGGGTAATTTCTGTTTAAAAAAATTTGTCTTCAGAAACTCGAGTGGTTGAAGATGCAACTTCTATTTTGTACCAGTTGATACCCATGAGACAGAAAATGTTTCTTGTCCTCAGAGATAAAGAAACTCTTCAGTAATCATAAGGATCATATAATTCAACAAAATTTACTAGGGTTGTTTTATGAACAGTTATCTCTTAAAATCCTAATTAAGCGTGTATGCTTTACAAATTTACTCTAATGATTTTCCCTAAAGAATTCGAAATAAGGGCAAAATTGTAAACAGTCCTAGCCCATTTTACGTCCATACGTTGATAAGGATGACAATGTTTACAGTTTTAAGGGGGCTTGTTTCCTATAATTATAAAATGGATAATTTATGAAGAAACTTATTTACAGGGTATGGATAGTGGTTTTGGAGATGATGAGGCCTATAATGTATATGATAAGGCCTGGCGTGATGACAATAAAATAGCTAATTCTATCTACAGACCTTCTAAAAACATAGATAAAGATAATTATGGTGGAGATTTAGATGCTTTGATGAAGAATAAAAGGTCAGGATGCTTGGTGTACCCTTTGTTTCTTGGCCTGTTGCTTTCCTATGCCCATGCTTATTTTCACTCGTTATGCATATGTTGTAACGACAGCTTTTTTTTGGGTGGATGCATTGTAAAACTGCTAATTCTAATGGCAATATCATGCAAAATTGTAGGTAGTTTTAGATTCTTATCTGCCTGAATTAACTGGCAGCACGTAGATTTTAACTGTGAGGTGTGTGATACTTTGCTTTCCTCCTAGTGACAGTAGTGCACGAAAAGACTAATTTGTTGTACTGCCTTTGCTATTGATTACAGTGCTCTTAACCGCTTAATATCTGTATACTATCCTTTTTGCTAGATATATTAAAGTAATTTTTACTTACTCACTTTAATTGAATATCTTTTCCTTGATCAGCTTTTGTGCTTTGCATTTTAAAATTTGTATTCCAGTACTTGATGGATCCACATGCTTCTATAAGAATATAAATTTTTGTAGCAAATGACATCTAAATTGTGATACAACTATTTATAATTTAATGTTATATTTCTGAAGAGTTTCCAAAAAACCAAACCCACAACTGGTTTACAGTGCCATTGTTTTCCTCTGTTTCATGGCTTTTTTTTTCTTTTTATTTCAGATTTGTTCCAGATCGTGATTTTGAAGGAACCGACAGAAGTCGTCGAAGAGAAGGACCTGTTCAGTTTGAAAGAGATGTTGAAGAGGATTTGTTCGGTTTAGATAAATTCTTCAAAGAGGCTAAAACTGGTCAAAAACGGGCTGCAGATGACTCCAGATCTAGTCGTGATTATGAAAAGAAAAAAAGAAGAGAGTAGATTTTTTATGACAATCAAATATATATCATTGCCTATTCATAAACTTGAAAATAATTTTCTGCGTGTCTCATCACAATCGCATTTCTCATACCAGGATTTAATCTGGTTTTAATTTTTTGGCCAGTGGATTGTATTTATCTATGGACATTAAGTACTGTACCAATTGATACCTGCCCAAAATTATATTTTGTTATGACAATTACTCAAGGACTTTTAAACTTAAAATGTAAATATGAATCCCTTTGCAATTATTTGTAAATAGATACACTATAATCCCTTCACACTTATTATTCCTCCTTTGTGTGAACTGTTAATATGGACCAAATTTAGACATTATCCCACTTAATGGTTAAACTTATATGTAATAGACCTTCCTTAGCTTGTATCGATCAGATACTATGTCATATAGTTTCTGTGACTCAGGTCAAAGCATAAAACAGGCATTAAAGGAGCGTTTGTGTAATTATGTCCTATTATTAGGTGTATATATTGAATGTCAATTTGGAAAAATGAAAAAAATGCGTGGTATGTTTTAAATGTGAATAAATATTACCAGATAACATATTGTAGTCCGATTCTTAGATTTACCTCCCTTGAATAGATTCTCACGTTAGGTGGGGCTTATTTCAAGATGTCAGCCTCCATTGCCAAACACAACATCAAATAATGTCAATAAGGTATTCTGAAGGCTTTTGTAACAGCTTTCAATACATATCCATTTATTAGCATAACAAGGTTGATCCCTTCCTCCTGCAAGGTTTGAAAGTTTAAAAGTACCACGGGCACTTAATGGCATAGATGTCAGTCATATGGACTGGTGACGGACACGGTCGATACTTCCTTATTATCTTGAACTTGAAGCCAATGGAGGGCAGAAGTTACGGTCTGGCTGTGCTCATGTACGGCTGAATTCTGTCAACCCTATTCAAAACGAATTGAGGCATTGTGTACATGCATCCTTTCATCCTTTCATCCTTTAATCCTTTCATCTTTTATTATAGTCGTCACAGCAATACACAATCATTCATTATTAGGCTTCATGTGAAAAAGGTCAACTTTGAACTGCAAATTCATATTTACCACAGTCTTCTCTGGTATATTAATATCAGAATTATATTTGCATCTATAGATATATGAGCACAAATTAGTTTTATCAGCTTAATATTTAGGGCACTTTTTAATTTCTAGGTTTTTCTCCAATTTAAAGTTCAAAGTTCAATAAGATGAATTCTTCATTCCGAAAAATATTTGTTCAGTACTTGAGGCTTTATAAAACCTGCTCCAAAGCAAGGATCATCCAAACTCCATGCCATGGATGTAGACACCATTATTCCACCTCACCATTACACAGTACATCTGAAAACAACCCTAGAGAGTGGCAGACACATTTTAAAGGACCACAACCAGAGTTTGATTGGCAATATTTATGTGACCCTAACAATACTGCAGCAATAGAAGAGAACATAAAATATAGAAAAGGTATGGGAGATATTAGAAAAGTGGTAAGTAGATTATTTTTTTCTTATCAAGTTGGGGAACTGCTTCCAATCTTTTAGAATGATTTTCTGTTAGTGGATTACACATTTGCTATTTGCTAAATATTGAAAAAGTTAAGGAATTAATGTAAAAGATTCTAAAGGTATAGGTTGAAAATATTTTTAATTTTTCTTTGTAGACAAGCTTATGGAAGAAGTATAATGAAGAAAGTGAGGTAGGCCTACTATAGATACACCTTAATTGCACAGATATATATACATGATCAAACCGTAATGAACTGTAGAACTGTAAACATACTTATTTTTTTCATTATATTTTGATATTTCTATAAATTGGCCTTGTATTTTCAGGCAAGTCATAAAGATAGAATCTGGAAAGACTTAATAAAAGAAGCTAGTGATATACCTAACACTCATCATCCAGACTCAGTAAGTAAGATATTCAACACAGGGTAGTTGATTTGATCACATTGATCAGCTTTTCAATTTGAAAAAAATTCAGGAATATACCTAAGCTATGTTTCTTTAATTTGTCTCCAAACAGTTGCATAAAATTTCGATGTAATAATACTTCATTCCATTTCATTTGATGTATCATTTATTTAGCCTATAGGTGAAGAAGAAAATTCCAGATTAGTTGAAACTGTTGGAGAACCTACACGTAAGTACTGATGAAATTAGAGACGTTCACTTTCACCCAACAAGTTGTATCTAAAAGGATTGTAAAGAGGTTTTTCGAAATTTTTTATGTGTATTGTTACACTGATAGCATCAGTTTGCACATTTCAATTATCAGTCAGATGTCTGTGGTTCCTGCAATTCCATTAAAACTAAGTGTTTGGTGATTTCACTAATCGCGAAGGGCGATAAAGCATAATTTGCAATTAGTGATGTCATCATACACTTAGTTTAGTGGAATTGCAGGAACCACAGATGTCTGATCAAGAATCTGAATGATGAAAAATAATGCCAATATCATACCAATATACATAAAAATTTGTAAACCTCTACAATCCCTTTAATGCAGGGAATGAAAAATAAAAAAAGGAAATTGAGTAGTATTTTGAAAACGGCAGATATATTTTTGTATTTATATTTCATATCTGAACAAATTTTCATTTAAGAAATATTGAACATTGTAAAGATTTTCACTGTTTTATGCTATTATTTTTTTTTTTACAGGATTTAATTTTAAGCCAAGAACTGTGGTTAGAATTGGTGAAAAGCTAGACATACTCAGAACAGAGTAAGTATTTTGTTCAAAAAGTGTACAAAAGTGTTATTTCAAAATTGACCAGAGTTCACCTGACAACAGAGTAAGAATCAACAAAGGTCATTTGATGCTGATGGGTTTCAGATATTAAATCCTCATCAGGACGACTTGGAATTTTACTTTTTTGGATCAGTGATAATAGTTTTTGATCAGATGTTAAAAGAAGTATATGATTTTTTTTCAGCAATGTTAATTTTTCAACTGGAATAAGAACATATTATTTTAAAGATGAACTGGTAGATTTAGAAATGGCTTTAATTAAATTCACATTAAATACATTAAAACAACATGTAAGTTATTATTATTAATTACACTTTAAAAAGATAATCTTGAATCATTCTGAAAATATTTTCTAAAATATGTTGACCATTGGTCAAACAGTAAAAGTTATTAAGGCCATAATAAGTTGTCAATCATTTTATTATTTTACAAGTCATATATATATATATACCATGTGTCTTATTTAAACAAACTCTTCCTATGTTTTCTTAACTCGTTATAAAAAATGTGATATAAAACTAATTAATTACTGTTAATGTAGGCCCTATAGAAAAATTTCACATTTTCTCATTTTATCCCCAAAATTTGCACCAAGGTAAGAGTGGTTGTAACAACAACATATAATTGAAGCTACGAAAGCACAGGCCGAGGTGAAAATTCAGCTACATCAACATGATATTTATAAAGTAATGGAATTGAATTATAAAGTAATACTTATAACAAATTAAATATCTAAAATAATAGAGTATATATATTAATGTGAAATGTTATATTTGGGAATCGAGAAATTTTCATTTCACGTGATTTAATATTTAATTATATATTATTTTATATTTTGTAGGGATTTCATGTTATCTCAGTTCCCGATCTTATATATGCTCCAGTTATTGTAAGTTAACTTATTTTATTATCATGTCATTAAAGTATTGTTTTCAGATTGACCTGTGCATGTATGTTTCCAAAAGTATGAAAATATCTGATAAGTTTTCCTGTCTAACTCAATATTGTATGAAAATTTGCTTCATTTTTTAATAATGTCTTGAGAAACATAATACGGAGATTCAATAGAAATTATTGCAATTGGGGACACTTACTTAATATTGTGGTAAATACTTGGCTTTGAAAAACTTGTTATAACTTTGTTTATCTCTATTTAAGTTGTTATCTTATTATTTTAGGAAGCTTGTGGTTTTAAAACTACAGGTGAAAATCAAGTTTATAAATTAAATGATAATTTCTATCAAGATGTGTGTTTAGCTGGTACAGCAGAAATGTCTCTAGCAGGTTAGCCTCTTTCACTGTACCTTTTTATTATGATAAAGTTTGATAACAAATGGGCTTAACTTGCCAGTATTGAACTTTTGGTGATAGGGGTTTAAATCTGACACTCAGAAACAGTGGCTTTTTTCTTATTTTGTGGATGATTCAAACCCATAGCACCTAATCTTAAGAAGACAATCCAACTCAGAATCTACTGAGCCATAGAATTAGCAAAGTAAGATTAATCACTGAACAGGAGCAAAATGTTGACAATGAGAATATTCTACAGTACATATGATTTCAAATCATGTATGATGTTATTTATACACAAATATCATGAGTATTTGATTTAGTTTAGTTTCATTTATTTTTTTTTTCTAGGGTTTATGTCAGATGAAAAATTAACAACAGAAAATCTTCCAACAAAGTAAGAATCTTCAATATTTTGTTATGATTTAAGATTTGTTATATATTATTATTTAAGATTTGTTATATATTATAATTTAAGATTTGTTATATATCATAATTTAATATTTGTTATATATTATAATTTATTATTTGTTATATATTATAAATTCATTATTTGTTATATATTATAAATTAAGATTCGTTATATATTATAATTTAAGATTTGTTATATATTATAATTTAAGATTTGTTATATATTATAATTTAAGATTTGTTATATATTGTAATTTAAAATTCGTTATATATTATAATTTAAGATTTGTTATATATTATAATTTAAGAGTTATATATTATAATTTAATATTCGTTATATATTATAATTTAAGAGTTATATATTATAATTTAAAATTCGTTATATATTGTAATTTAAGATTTGTTATATATAATTTAAGAGTTATATATTATAATTTAAGATTCGTTATATATTATAATTTAAAATTCGTTATATATTATAATTTAAGATTTGTTATATATTATAAATTCATTATTTGTTATATATTATAAATTAAGATTTTTTATATATTATAATTTAAGATTCGTTATATATTATAATTTATTAGAAAATATATGTCGCTAAAGTGGTGGGCACTATTATCTCTTATGCATGGTTAAGGGGCATGGTCGTCAATGAAATCCTGGCTATGCAACTGCTCTTGTTAATACATAATAAATTGTGAAAATAAGAGTATAAGACCCCATTCTATTTGTATGTTGTTATGTCAGATTAAGAGCAATCAGCAAGCAATTTTCCCTTTTAGGTTAACTGCAGTGAGTCGATGTTTTAGGAGAGAAGCATCTGATGCTAAAGAAGAACAAGGAATATATAGAGTACATCAATTTACCAAGGTACTTTTTAATTTACAAATTTATCAAATACATACAATATTCACTACTGTTTTTGCAATGCATTGGTATCGGTTCAACTCATCCAGGAAACACCAGACCATAAAATTTTAATTACATGTATATGTGTCAAGTAACCCTGCTTAAGCAATTCCAATGTCAAAACAAAACCTCTGCTCAGAAAGTCTTCATAAATCAAGCCCTGGCATAACAGATGAGTTGCCTGCCATAATCTGGTGACTGAGGTATGTTACTTCCATAGATAGAAAATTAACAAAAGGAAAATCAAACTTTGTTATATAGATTGAAATGTTTGGTGTGACAGAGAATGATAAGGGAACAGAAAGTGAAGAGTTATTACAACATTTTCTTGATATAGAAAAATCTTTATTTTCTCAGCTCGGTCTACATTTTCGGTGAGTGGACAACTTTTACACACATTTAATTTCTTTTCAAAATCATTTACATATTTGCCTAAATTTGGATGCATTTCGATGAAAATTTTGGAATAATTTAGAGAACTTTCCAGATCATGAAGGGCAACTAAGGCAAACTGCAGAAAATAAATTGAATATAAAGTCTGGGCCTATATCAGCCGGAATTCGGAATTTCAGAATATTAGAAATGTCAACAGAATGTCTGGGAGCACCAGCTTATAGAAAATATGATATGGAAACTTGGATGCCTGGTAAACACTTTTGGGGTGAGGTTAGTGATCATTTAGTGTCAAATTAAGCAAACTATTTGATTAATTGGTGTTTCTAATGAATTACCATGTATTCTTAATCATATCATTACGTTCTTATTGAGTTTTAACCAATCATAAATGTACATGTATGTACAGTCTGGATAAACAAAAAAAACTTTTTGACCTTTCTTGATCAGTCACTCATTGTAATTCTGCTGGTAATTCTCCTCTAATTTAGCTAATTATAAATTAATTATGGACATGTGAGAGGAACTAGTTTTTTTCCAAGTCATTAGAACACCTCTACTTTCCATTCATATAAGTATTAGCACTTTCATAATATGAAAATAAGCAAACCCATCTTTAAAGGTAGCCTTTTTCATAACTTCTCAAAATTAGTGAAGAATGGTAAAACAAAAATGGGTTTAAATAGGTTTTTTTTAGTTTTCAAAAACCCATTTGTGAATGAATTTGACAGTAATATCTAATTTCTATATTTCTAGATTTCCAGTGCATCTAATTGTACTGATTATCAGAGTAGAAGATTAGGTATAAAATATACAGATATTAACGGTAATTACAGACACGCTCATACAGTAAGTTTATTTCTACTTGGAAAATTGCTTTAACATATTGCGACATTCAATTTGAATTTTTTCTGTAATATTTAAGATGGTGTACACACTTTAGTAGATGTCAGTATATATTATACAATATAACCATTAAACTTAGTATTGTCTGTTTCAGGTCAATGGAACAGCATGTGCCATACCACGTATGATTATGGCCATACTTGAACAGTTTCAAACTAAGGTAACTAATCTTTACTGAAGGATTGAATGTTGATAATGTTATCTTTATGGAGAAATGAAAGCCACAGCAGGTCTTGTAATATTTGTCACATGTTAAAGCAGCTATTATTTGGTTGATTCTGTTCATTATTATTGCTCTATTTGCTTTGTTTCAACTTGTTTCTAATGGTTGATAATGTAGGTCATAGAAAAATAATTTCTAGCTGCTTTGATGCTGCTGTTGAACTTTCTCTCATTGCACACTGAATGACATTGTCTACTGGTCAGTGATCCACTTACTTAGTGACATTAAAAATATTCTGTATTTTCAGGATTGGAATGTAAACATACCAGAAGTCTTACAACCTTATATGAACAATAAAACACAGCTTACTGGGCCTCAAAACAAACATCCAACAAAATGGATCAAATTTAAGAAATTAAAAAATATTACTTCTTAAACATGTTTTCTTCAATTAAATCAGATTTCCAAACTGACAGACAGACAGTCGGTTGAAGTCTTAAACCTCCCTACCTAGGAACAAACCAATCCGGGTAAAAAATTCACCCTGGTAACCCTGATACATACTAACTTCGGTAATCTCGCACCAGGAACCCACAATGTGAGTCTAATCAGTCAAAGTTCAAACACGAACGAAACTAGTCGCTGATAATCACTGGTCACTTAGCCAATCTTGAATATACAATTCACAGAAGATATTTGCAAACACCTTGGGGCCAATCAAAATATATAGCATAATAAATCCACATTATATTTGGAGGTCAATAAACAGACAGCTAATGCCAATGTTTTAAACCATTTCAAATGTGCACAAATACCATTTCTCAATTATACTGCCAAATTCTACATACAGGTGCTTGTGTTTGGTGTAAAGTACAAGACAAAGTATTAAAATTTATTTTTTTATATCTTGCTAAAAATGAATCTCAAATTACAAATGGTACATGAACAATATGAGGATTTCTAATGAAATATTACAATAACTGGGGATTCAAATATAACATAAAATTGGATGTCTTTCATCAAAAATAGTCTGCATATAATTAACCTACAGGAACACTCTTCAATCTCTAAAATACATGCTCAACTTGGCAGCAAATTCATTCTACTTGTACTATTTTATATCATTTACTTAATGTACATAAGAAAAGCGGATACTATTTGCATTTGATCTTTTTCTATTTTGATTGATATTTTAGGCTAAGATGAATATTTTACTCAGTGTTCATATGTTTTAAGGTATATTCAAGCAAAGGTATCTTTGCTCATCCAGGTCTAATTCATTAACAGTTTACTTTATTTTTTGTGTAGAATAAATTAAAACTAAACAAGCTATACTACTTAGACTACCTAAAAGTAAAATGCACTGTTTGTGGTTATGTTTTAAAGGGATTGTAAAACGTTTTTCTAAATTTAGTAATGTGTATCGGGGACACTGATAGCATCAATTTGCACACTTTCAATTTTCAAACAGACGCCTGCAATTTCACTAAAGCAAAGTATTTGATGACGTCACTAAACGCAAAGGGCCTTATTTGATCTAAATTTAGAAAACCATTTGACAATCCCTTTAATGTGTTATACTTTTGAATCAGACCTGAATGGATGTGAAAAACTTTGCCCTCTATATTNTCAGCTAAGTTTCAAAATCATAACTGTTCTAACAAACTTTACAAGCCAACTAAAATAGTATGTATTGCACCAACACAACAAAGGATTCTCATACAATCTATAGACTCTCTTAAACACACATCATTACAAACACAATGATCAATTTGATATTTCTATGGGAATAATAATTTAAGATTAGACTTTATCATAAATTGGCTTTAGGAATCACTTTGCAATCTGTGATATCTTGGCCAATGCAGTTCAATAATAACGAACTAATTTCGACCCCTTTAAATCATATAGGCTATTGGTCCAGTTGACAGCAAAAGAAATCTGTTGTAAACTATAGGATAATTTCCAAATATGACTCCATTGTCCCAATATGATAAAGCCAATAATTTCAATATACATAAGTTAATCCTCCTTTTTATCTTGTTCTGTTTTAGGTTGAGAAGAGAGATCACCATCTCCTCCTTCTATGGCTTGGGTATCTTCTTCTCCTTCAACTGGTTTGGCATCACCATTTTGTTCTAACATTTCTTGACTAACACCAAATTCATTGACTCTGGTGGGATCAACTCTATAAATCCATCTTTGATATAAATAGATAAAAAATATCACATCTGAAAAAAATAAAGCAGAATTGTTAGCTGTAAGCATTTCAACTTTCCCCTTTGACATCTGGTGTTCCTGTATTTCTAGAGAACTATGACCAGATAATCTTGACTACAGACACACCATGGTAAAAACCTAAATGCTAAATGGAGTAAAGTAAGAGTGGAGTAAGGATAAATTAAACTCTCTAAATATACATCAGAATAGTGGATAAAAGCCGATACTGGAAAATCTCTGAATCTCAGAAATGGTAGTTTCTATTACCATCTGTAAGCCTTATATTGGTGTAGTTGATCAGATGAAACTTAAAAGTAAACTGTAAAATTCTAAATTTGATTCCCATCAACAAGTAACCAACTTACCATCACGTAGACAACCTAATCTATACAGTGTTGGCATCTTGATAACAAAAGCAAATATATCATCTATAAAGGTATTTAATGCTTTATATGTTAACATACGCCATGGTAGATGAGCTACTGATTTTAGTTTATAATTAATAAATAACTGTGGAGTCATCATTATAAAACCTGAAATATAAAATTACATCAGTTGACATACTGGTTCTGATTTTCTGGTCTTGTTGAGGTTTAACACGCCATACAGTGTTCAATGAGGAAAATCACTAAGGCAGTAGCATAAACCTACATTTTATCAATTTGCAACCGTCTAATGTGGAAACAGTGCATACATAAAGCAGGAAAATGAAAATGAATGGAGTTTTACATGCTAACAACTTACCAAAAGTGAGTAAGAAACCATACATCATACCAAGTACCCAGGAATACCAGCCTTTATGTTCTTGATATAATAATGAATATATAGCATAGCCTATTATCAATGGATACAACAACCATGATAAATATTTAAATGCTAACTGAAATTGAATAAATAACGTAAATCAAATTCCGGTTCCAGTTCAGTATTTGTTATAAGTCTTGTCAGAAATAATTTTTTCTTCAATTAATGGTGTTCAAATAGTAAGTATATCATGTGCATCAAATGTAAACTTTTCAGAAAAAAAAGTTGTTTAGAATTTGTCTTCCTTTTTAATTTAACAAAATGCAACTTTATCAGATTGTATATGGATATGTCTTCACACCTCTCCTAAAGGCTTGTTATACAATTACAATTATGATCAAATACCAATTGCTCCAACATACCATATCATACTGTTTAGTATTAGATTGTGTATAACTTGATTTATCTGTGATACTAATTCTAGGAAATATACCAAAGACTCTTCTTTCTCTGTCAAACTAAAAATACAATGTTATAACCATAATATAGACTGGCCATGTATATTCATTACTACAGACGATAAGTGTGCAAACCTTCTGTCAGTCAATCTTTGATTAAAGCTTTCTGTGGTAGTTTTGAATTGAAAAAAATGCCATATTTTGTGATACTGTTTGGATAAAACATACCATATTGCACACTTCCTTTTCCAAATCTTGAACTTTCAAACAGGAGACAAAACACACAGTATGTATCTATATAAAACAATTATTACCTTGACATCCATAACTTTGTGAATTTTCCATATTTCAATGCCTAATCCTATAAATATACTGATTCGAACCACTGTATTGGTCTCATTGTCCATAACATATAATAATACTATTAATGATTGAAATACGTTAAAAAATACAGATCGAACTGATAATCCTTCCAGAGATTTACGACTTTTCCAAAACTGGATATCTGAAAGAAATCAAAATTTAAATTAGAATTTTAGTTTTTCAGAAAGAAATATCAATCCAGAGGAAATGGGATATTAACAACTAAATTTCAAGCCTTTACAACTCAAAAATATTCGTTCAGATTTTTGCTCCCAAAAAATGCTTGGAGTTTGCCGAAATTCTTTCAATTTGTCATTTTCACCACTAAAACAATTTTTTGACAATAAAGCACAGCTTAACAGACACATTTATTATGCTATAACCTATGCCCATGTCAAAAATCTTAGGCTCAACTAAAAATTGATCTCTAAACTTACACCATAAAACATTAGTCTCATTCCTTTTGCTTAGTATTATCTTAAAAAAACTAATAAACTTACCATTTTTAAAAGCTAAGAATTCAAAGATACTGTGTAAAATAGAGACTACAATAGTCATACCTAATAGATAGGGGTTAGTCTCAATAAATGCAGTCTGAAATATAACACATGAACTATTATGGCGTCCAACACAAAAATTATGTAAAACAATAGATTTAAAGTGACCATTTCTGCACAATAATTCTATATTTTATATCTGGGTAAAATGTCTAAAATTACCATCTATTTCTTAGAGGAGAGGAAAGCCGAGTTGATATACCCAGTCGTAAGTGATATATGGTGCCACAATAAAGTAAAAATAGGTACAAATCCTGTTGCTCATTTGATTCCTGGTTATATTTGAAGCAAACTATTTGAAATGAAATGTTGATTGTTAGTTTGTTTGTTTTAAGATGGGGACCTATATCTTCCTATGCAATTCAAACTGATGTGCTATCAATGTCCCCTAAACACATAAAAAATGTAGAAAATATCTTTACAATCCCTTTAAGTTCTATTTATGAAGAAATCTTTTCTTGTCCTATAGAATCAGGGAAAAATTACCTTTAAAGAATCTTGATCTTGGTCTGATTCTTCCATCATATCACCACCCATAAATGAGTACCATTTATTTCTCATACCTTGAGCAGCATACATCTGCCATTTAAACAGTGAGATAGGGGAATAGGTCAGAGTAAAATTCAGGACTCTAAAAAAAAAAAATAAAACATGTCATAATAATGTCAATGACATATCAACATGGGCCATACAGACATTTTTGTATAAAATTTCAATAAATGGAAATAAAATGAATGGAGTTTTAACTCCCACCTTTCTGCAAACTGTGGGTTAATGAAGATGGGCAACGCCATGCAAGGTGCAATGAGGTAAATTTTGCCAGGACATGGTGTAAGTCTGTTGTTTATTATTTCCAATTTCCGAGGGATCTTTAACATGCACAGCACACGGGACCGAAGGTATTATCTCAACCTATGCCGGGATTGAACCCTGGACTGTCTAACGTACTGAGCCACCGCGGCTCCCATCAATAAATGGAAATGTCAAGCTTAGGTCAAGTCTATCAGCAGGTAGTGCATTCTTTCAGTGTCCCTAAAACACAGATTTTTATTCTATGTAAGCTCCCAATTCCATGCACAGTCGTAAGCTTGAGTGTCAATATTCTGCTCCAGACTGAAGAAATTATAATACACTGTGCAATGGAGGAAATTTTGCCACAACTGCTAAAGTTCATTCTTGTTTGATCTCAAAATGAAGAGGGACCTGGGTCATTAGGATCCAGATTCAATTTAAATTTAGTTATCTTATGGTTATGAAGACCATCGAGAGCTTCTGTATATTTATTGATTTGGCCAGAAATTTCCACAGAACATATACAATTGGAATTGCAGATCATTGTGATAAATTTTAATCTTGACTGTCCAAGGAACAAATGGATTGCAAAACGGTCATTTTGACTCTCAAGATGCTATACGGTTTAAATGGAACCCTGTTTCGATCCAGGCTTTATAAAAGTCAAGATAACTTACTTTAGAGTATCATTAATGGGTGTATAGTCTCTTTGTAAATTCCAATAATCATTAAAATATATCACAGGATAATAGTGATTTAATCCAGGTACAAAATCTATATCTGTAATAGAATAACATAGAATTTTATAGCATTATTCTGATAATACAAATATGGAAATTCAATAATATGAGATTATGACCTTTTTGACTGATTTAAACAGTTTTTTATCATGAAGCTCAACTAGAAACGATACCAACTATGAATATAAGGTACGGTATAGAGCATTTATTTTATTATGTTGAAAGTTGAATTATTTTTTTACTCTAGCAACAAAACAATTCATGCCAAGTAGCTGTAGTAGCTTTATTATGCTTTCAACTTTCTAGGGATCAAAGAATGTAAGGCCCAAGAAAGCAGACATGCCTAATTCTATACTTCTTGTTTTACGTTACTATATTAAAAAACTTCATGTTACATTCTGTATTTCCTAAATTAACAATGTTGACACCTCAAAGTGACATTCAAGTTTTATTCTAGTCTTTGTATATGTTTAGGAGTACACTCTCACTCCTGAACCAGCATTAAAATATAATCAAGGCTAAATTATGACGTCACTATCATAAATGCCATTCACACAAACAAATGTCCAAGTAGTTTCTGTAGAAAGCAGTTGTTAAATTTATGACTAGTGCAAATGGAAGCGATAAGTGTATCTGATACACATAAATTACTGAAATTTTTTTTAAATCCTTAAAAACATTTTAATGGTGGTTTTGGTTTGACAAATTGACCTACATTCATCTAAAGGTGGTGGAACTGAGCCTCTCATCCATGGTGAATGATCATCTAGTAGATTCAATGTTAAATTAGGATGCCAGTGTGATAAGATCTCAAATGATGACATATTTTCTTTCTGAAATATAATTATATAATGAAATACAATGTTATCAAAATTAGCTCGAGGAAATTTGTCTTAGGCTATAAGGCTGCATTGGACATAAAAAGATAATACACATAATTTCTATTTCTTTTATCACTTGTATTTAAGTCTCAGAAAATTATATCAGGTTTTTTACAGCAGGTAACGAACAAAGCATTAGTCATCTTACAATAAGTTTACTATCTAATAATATAACTTATTTATAGTACCTTGATAAGATCTGGATGAACATCTGTTTCACCAGTTAATAAATTGACAGAGCTATGAAAGGTTCTCTTTTTAAATTTATTCAATTCTGAAATAAAAATAATAATGACCACTTGATAAATAATCAGGCAGAATGCAAATGCAGAAGAAATAGTTCATAATAAGAACCTTACGTCAAGATACATCCACTGATAGTCTTTAAAAAAATTCTTCATCAGTTACACTTACCAGGTGTTATAACTAATTCTGTTGTATAGCTATAGCTAAGTCCACTGATGAACAAAGAAATATTTTAACAAGGTTTTAAATTTCAAATTTGTGGTCATCCTAAGAGGAAGTAACCCTTTGAAATAAAGTTGATATTTGTACATATTATAAACAGTGATGTTGAGTTGGTAATCAAATACAATGTTTTGCTTCAGGTGTTTTTCTTGAAAATTCTGACCAGATCTGAGTCGGATCATCCAACCATATTTTTGAAGATGATTTTATGATACAAGAATAAGCCTACATACGTTTAGATCTGTAGACTGTTTTCCTTTTGCTGTATTTTCCTTTATTGCTTGGATCTGGTGATCTTCCTTCACTGACAAAGTATGCATGTAGATATAGAGATCCATTGTTCTGCAATTTCTATAAAATCAAATGGACATCAAATGAAAACAACTAAAGTTTAAATTAAAGTTCTTAAGAGATAATGGCATGGTCGAAACAAACAAAAATTATTCATTTTCTGCACTTCGTTCAATTGAATCAGTAATTGATTTGAAATCAAATAAATTATCATAAATGCCATGCAGTGATCAAGGAAGGGAATTTTGCCAGTTCATCATCAGCCCAACCGTTTTCAAAATCAAACTAACTGGAAACTTCCACAGTTTGTAGATTACAGGGCTTACAGGACTACATGATCTTATAGATTTTTACCAAAAAATGTACCTGAGACGCAGGAATCTTTCCACTGTGTTCAAATGTTCCATCTCCATTTTCTCCATCTGTCCAATCGCCATATATCAGATTTTTCTTTGTCCAAAACAAGGCCTGTTCATTATCAAAATCTGTGAAATCTTCTTGTTCTGATATGTACACATATAGGTCCTAAAATCATTACATTTATTAAAGATGGTGCAGAATATCAACAAGTGGACCCCTACTACAAGGCTTCTTTGTTAGTTCACAGTTTACCCAAACATTAGGCCAAATTTGAAAATGACCTCAATTCAGAAAATTCATTAATAAAAGGTTAATAAAATGCAACCTGTTCACATAGCTCTATTGTAAGTTATTTTGTGAAGCTTATGATAATTTCAATAAATTAACATACTCATAAATATTCAAATATATCTTCTATGGTAAAATCATACTAAGATATATAATAGGGGGTTTCACCTTACTTCATACACAACTTGTGATTTAATGTAGTAACCCCTTTTCCACTTTTTTCACAAAATACAAAATATGCCATTTTGGAAATAACATTAATGTCAGAAATAAAATGATATCCTTGTTTTTCGTAGTTCAGCTATAAATTTAAAATGCAAAACTTCACACATTGCAGAAAAACTGTGACACATAAATGAATGGGGATGAAGTGCCTTATCTAGCTCAGGATAAATAATTTTAAAAACTGACAAAGTTTAGCACAACTTATTAGCTCTGTCTCAATATTTTGAGCCTATCCCACTAATTCGCTTTAATAATGAGTCAATGACACAAACTTAACCAAAATAAAACTTTACTCAATCACTAACCATTATAGTGCCTTTAGAGAATAGATTAGTGGCAGGTCCAGAAGGTCCATTTAATTTATTTACAGGTGCTGGGGATCCATCTTGAGTAGTGTTTGGTGTAGGATTTGTTGGTGATCTACGGAAGAAGCTTGAAATTAGGTAAATAAAGAGCATTCTAACAAACAATGTCTTTATTGTTGACCAAAAATTAAAGCCCTGTGGTTGTGCAGGTTGATTTTCAGATCCTTCCACCTGAAATAAAATTAATAATTGAACAGATCTCAAAACAAACATTCTCATGTATTGTAAGGTTATTTTTATTAACTTTAAACTCAGTACTATTAATTAACAGAATATATACTTGACTGCTTATATTGGCTTTGCTAAAAAAAAATTTCAGAACCACCTACATCTTGGCAATTAATTTGGGCATTTCTTTACGTGTATCCTACTTGTTATGTACTCATATATTTATTGTTGTTTATGCATAATCATCCTCTAATTCTAAAACCGGCGTGCCAGTTTGAAAATCATGAAACAGCATGTATGCGCATATTTATTACTTCCTCCCTAATACAAGGTTTAGCCTATATCCTACATAGTCATAGTCTGAAACATTTGTCTCTATTCCAGACTCTGGTGAATATTTTTCGTTAAAAAAACTTTGTTGGAACAGGACACGGGACTAAATGATGTAGGGAGAAAATAATGGTATGACTGAACTATAAGAATCTTCACCTTTCATCTGAGCTATCTAATCAAGTTTAAAATCCCTGGGCCCCTGCATCTGCAGAGAGAGATGCGGAAGTCCCCATTTAACAGAGCCTATTTGTTCTGTCTCTACACCAGCCGAAAATTGTGGGACTAGTCATAGAAATGTGCCAATTAAATAAAAAGTGATGACTCACAGATGTCCAGTCATAAATATGCATTATTGTGAAAGACACAAAAGTCAAATGTCCAGTTGACCAAGTAAACAGACAGACACGGAACGATATCCACGTGCAGAAGTTTGCGGTTATGAGTGAAATACAGAACCAAGGACACATTTGTTGTAACTGATTGAGTATAAGTACAAAATATATTAAAACCTGATTCTCTTGAGTATCATTTTGAGACTGTACAGTTGTGCCATTATCAGTATTCCTTGAAACAACTTGCGCTGATTCATTCACAGCAGAATCGTCAGCCATCTTGGTTGTATATTAATAGCCTCCAACAACTACGTCTTGGAATATATTTTTATCATTATTATGAATCATCGGCTTATATTTAGCATTTCTACTGACGAATCTTCTAACTTTGAAATTACTATCAGTGAAAATCAATGCTAGGTCGTATGAGTTAAATTAGGACAGAAATAGGCTTAAAAAATATTTGGTTTAAGGACTAAAAATTTTTACGTGAGAAATGCAACAAGATGGCGGGCTTTAGAGATCGCGAAAAACAACATTTCCCACTTGAAAGTAGTCAAGCCGTGGTCGATTTATTCGTTGATCAACTCGAATGTAGTGATGGGCCTAATTTAGCTCTGTTATCTACTGTTATTGGAGCTACAGAACATAAGTTGACAATCAATAGAAACGTGTCAGGAAGTGATAACCATTCGAAGACTTTGGAGCCCATTTTCCCAGTTATCGAACTGTCCACTATTGAAGCTTTGTATACAAAGTTTATAACGGATGTCAAGAGTGGTGTTGACCTGTCATCATTAAGAAAAGATGTTGCCACACGAGAACTAGTCAAAAGAGTGTCGGACATTATTTGGAGTCGACTAACAAGGAGTTATTACAAAGATAAAGCCCATCTTCAGTCGCTATACAGTTATCTCACAGGTGAGTACATAACAGTCACGCCTACACGTGAGTCATAATCCAACAGTTACACGTGCATGTCATGATCACATTGACCTACTTAAGTGATTTCAATTGAAGTGACTTAATTACTGTAATCATTTTTTAATTATTGAAGTTAGTATTATTTTATAATGCTGAATTAGTAAATTTACTGATTGAAATATTTTTGTACTGTCAATAACTGATAATTATTAAAAAAGGTCTAGCTGACAATGATGTACTATTGATTTTATTCACAGGCCATTTTGAATTCTTTGATTCAAGTTATTAAATTTTATAAGCTTAAATCAACCCGCCTTGCCTTAATTTTCAGTTCCAGGTCTACTTGAAAGTTGATGAGAATCATTGAATAATGTTTTTAAGGTCTACATGGTTGTATATTATTAATGGAAAGACATATATTGCTTTTGCAGAATGATTCTTTATGTTTTTAACATAATTTGCAGTTTTTTTCAGTAAAATAATAAGCTTATATTTTTTTCCATTGCAGGGAACAAATTAGATTGTTTTGGCGTTGCATTTGCAGTTGTTGCAGCATTCCAAGTGTTAGGTTTCAATGATGTACACCTTGCACTGTCCGAAGATCATGCATGGGTAGTTTTTGGTGAAGATGGCACAGATACTGCAGAAGTAACATGGCATGGTATGATTTCGAAACAATTCTTCTAATACTCTAATTAATATTGTTGAGGTCTATAAAAGCTTTCTGACGTAAACCATATCTGACTTTTTATGAAGATGTTTTTTTAAGCTTTAAGCTTTAAGCTCTTATTCAGATGCTTTTTTCAGTACCAGTAGTATTGCAGCAAGAACTCAAACTCCAGGACTGGTTCAATGAAACAACAACACAAAAAATCAAATTTCATGACTGGCACAATGAAGCAACAACATATAAAGTCAAATTTCATAACGGCACAATGAATCAAAAATGCAAAAAGTCATATTTCATGACGGGCACAATGAATCAAAAATGCAAAAAGTCAAATTTCATGACTGGCACAATGAATCAAAAATGCAAAAAGTCAAATTTCATAACGGCACAATGAATCAAAAATGCAAAAAGTCATATTTCATGACGGGCACAATGAATCAAAAATGCAAAAAGTCAAATTTCATGACTGGCACAATGAAGCAAAAAGCAAATTATAAAGTAGGTTTATTCTTCTTTGACACTGTCCCAAAGGCCTATTAGACTTTGTTCAGATTGAAGAGCCTGTATATTTATATTTTTTTAGGGAAAGGTAATGAAGATAAGAGAGGACAGCCAGTAGGTTTAGAAGTAACAGAGAAAAGTTGGTTATATCTGTGTGGTCAAGCTGTAATCTGTACTAAAGAAATGGAAGTGGCTGCTTTGGTTTCTGGTATCAATCCATCTATCAGTGCAACCAAGGACAGTGTAGAAATGAGTAGCCTACAACAGGTAACTTAGATATATTCATTAAAGGGACAGATGAGCCATTTTTTTTTTACCAATCATATCTTGGTCTTAGAAGAGGGAATATTTTAAGCTAAGCCAATCAGTAATTCACAACTGGCTCACCATCAAGATTTGAGCCTTCAAATCCATGTACATCCAGAATTATATTTGTTTTAAAGTTAAATAGAGACTAGTTGTCTTTTCTTAAAGCACTATTTCTCAAAATTCTTAGTTTGAGATATTTTTGAATGAATTATTTGATTTACGTACATTTCTAGTACAGTACTTTCTAAGACTATTTACATATATTAAAGACTCAAATCAACCCCCAAACTGGCGCACCTGTCTCATTAAATGATTCCCAAATTTTTTTAAGCCTTTGAAATGTATATGGGCATTGAAAGTTTCTATTTACAGCCCTACACACAAACATGAGAAATTGCTCACCATGAGAAACGTTTGATCTGTAATAGTGTCATTAACAACTAATCAAGTCTATGACCACCACATACTGCTAGTCCACAGTTTTAAACACCAAGAATCATATTACATTTAATTACTTTTACAGGTCATAGCATTGTTAATGCATTTTAGATATAGTTTTCATGTCTGAGGTGTGCAGTACCTAATTTTACAAAACACAGAGCTTGATTATGATTCCACTTTTGCACAAACCATTAAAATCAGATTTTATCAATAATTCTATAATCTGCTGAAAGTTTTTCTATTGGAATTTTGTTTTAAGGTTAAAAATTTGTCTAACAATTGTATTTTTAAATTGTATGTTTTCTAACCCAGAACATTTGCAAATAAAAGCACTGTTTCTATTCAATGACTAAACTAGGTCATTATGCAATTGTCTTAAAGTTGAACCTTTAAATATATAACAAATAGCTTTGATAGAATATGATTGAGGAAGAAATATGAACCAAGAAGAACAAAAACAATTTTTCTTATGTTAAAGAAAAGGAAATTCAACAAGGAAGACTTATTTTTTTTGTAAAGAACTTTAAAGCTACATTAACATTAAGCTAATATGATTAGTCAATTACAGTATTTATGTAGGTTTTAGTTTTGGCTGCCTGAAATGAAACATATGCTTTCATGAACTGTTCATTTTTCCAACCACGGTTCAATTGTAGGTAGTCATCAGTTTCCTAAAGATGTGACTGTCAAAGGTCAAGTTCAGCTGTTTGGATCATCTTTTAAGGGACTGGTGTGCCATTCTTTTTGACAAATAACACTTTAGTATCAGAAACGGGAATTTTTTGCTAAGCTTATCAGTAATAGTGTTTACAGCTCCCCGTTGAAATTTGAGCCTTCAAATCCATGTGTGGTAGCATGAGAAACTCTTTTAGTCATTTAGCTAAGGTATAGAGAAACTCTTTAATCTTTTAGCTAAGGTATAAAAAAAACTCTGATTTCTGCCATATACAAGTATGAAATTTAGTATTAACTTCCTCGACAACTAGAGTTTCAACAGAATTTGGTGAATTATTGAATAAAGAAAAGCTTAAGGGTGCATGGAGGTGTTTCTGAAGATAATATATAAAGTTAAAACTTCCTTTTCATTTGAAATCCATTGTTCAGTGCTACACAGCCTACTTGAATAGCCTTTTATGAAATATTGATCAGAGAAGTAGCTAATCAAGCCCCACCCTAAATCAAAATATAACACTGACGGTATAGAAAATACAATAAATTGATGCTTTCTTTATGTGCAGTCACATATTGTAGTTAGATATATTAGTTTCTAGAATTTTTTATACCAGTACATGTTTATTGAATTCTTGAAATTGGGAGTCCTACCTCTTAGGATGACTAAAAAAAATGAAATTTTTAATCTTAGCTAAAATGGGTCTGTATTTATCAATGGCTTTACCTGGTGTCATAATTATACAACAGAATCCCTCCATAAATTCATACTCATATTAATTGTTTTTTCATTAATCAACTTGTTTAATGGATTTATATCATATACAAGGATTCTGTTGTTTTTTTAGTTACCAGGCAAGTCCACTGATGAATATATCATGGGTGACCGCTTGAAACCATGTATATGCCATATTTGGTCATTTTGGCTTTTTGGTAGCACTTAAAAGCTCGTAAAAGCACAGAATTCATGATCAAAACCTCTTATTCTTAGCTTGATTGTAAATACCTAACCCTAAAAATCACCACTTAAATAACACATTACTGAAATTGTTATACGAGATATAAATTTTCAAAGAATGAAAACACACATATAGCAGTAATAAAAAAGTACAGATAGTTTTTTGCATTTTTCTCGAAAAGTAATTCGTTATAGTAGGTTTCAAGCGGTCACCCATGATATACACTTATTGACCATGGTGTTGTAGGCCCATGACATAATATATCACAAAGATACTGGTAAACTGTGAATTACAATGTGTAATATTGCCAATTATAATGAATCAACAAAGCTGAAAAACGTAGAATTAGCTTAAATGACTTTCTGAAATGGTGTAAGATTTTTTGTATCAGTCTTATCAGGCCAATTAAGCAAATTTACTCTCAGAGGCCATAAATCAACTGTACAACAGCTTATTGTACTAGTTTTTTCAATGAACTTTGATATTAAACTAGGTTCTTTTAAAAAGGACAGCTGTACCATTTTGGAGGGTTGATTTGTAAATAGTCTTCAGAAGTACTAAAGAAGTACAAAAATCACATAATTCCTTCAAAAATATCTCAAACTATTTCTATAGATGTCTTTTCTATATATGGCAGTGTATCAAGAAAAGATGACTCGTCTTTTTAACTTTCAAACACAGATAATTCTGGACACATGGATTTGAAGACTCAAATTTCAACTGTGAGCTGTGAACACTATTACTGATTGGCTTAACTGAAAAAAATTCCTGTTTCCGAGACTAAGATATGTTTGATCAAAAAAATAGCGCAACTGTCCCTTTAAGATACATGTATGATAAGTCATATTGATAACTAAAATGAAATACAGACAATAATTTGTTCCAACATTTAACTGATTATCTGAAGAAATTGATAATATCTATAATTTGTATGATAATACATTAAATGTATGATTTGATGACATTAATGACATATTTATTGATTGTCATCTAGCTAGTGTAATATGAATAACTATAGCCATGACAGTTATATATATCACTGCCTTCAATACTTTCTCATTTTACCCTTATCTAATATCATGTAGGGTAAGGATCTGCTGCTACAATGTTTCTTTTATGTGTAGCTCTTACAAATTTAAAGAGACATGGAGCTCAATACAGTGAAACAAAAACATACTAAGTCTGCTGTCATTTCTTGGGCTCTTTTGGCTTTTTTGCATAGAGTCAAGAAATTACTCATCTTCATAAAAGAATGATAATTACATTATAGCATTAATGGCAACAGTCTTAAAGGGACATATTCACAAAATTTTTGACCAAGCGTACTTTAATCTCAGAAACGAATTTTGTAGTCAACCTTATCAGTAATAGTATTCACAGCTCATCGAAATTTGAGCCTTCAAATCCATGTGTGTCTAGAATTATGTGTGTGTAAAATAACAACTCGGCTTTTCTCAAGACTCTGTATAGAAAAGACATATATAGAAATAGAAAGTGAAATTCTACGTTTGAGGTATTTGTGAAGAAATTGTGCGATTCTTGTACATTTTTGTAATTTTGAAGACTATTTACATATACCCAAATCCGTTTCTGTCTCATTAACCTCCTGTTTTGTTAAACTTAAGGGAACCGATAGTCTGATTCCTATTCTGAAAAGTGATATGCATAGTAATATCAAGCAAATAAAAAAACATGTATTCCTTTATCAAAAAGTTAAAGATGATGCAATAACATCTGTCACTCCATTTTGAACATCATTATAAAAAATCAATTTATTCCATTAATTTTGAGGATTCTACGTAAAATTAAATAAACTAAAATAATAAAATGAAAAATTCTTAAGATATGAATGCGGAAAAGAGAATTAAATTTTAATTGAAAATTTTAAGGAAGTGATGAAATCAATAAAGTGAAAAGGATGAAACCTAGCTAAACAAATGAAATGTTTTGTTTTAAAGTTTGATATTGATTAGAATTCACTATGATTTATTATTAAAATACAGAAAGCAACACTCTACTGTTTACTTTCATTCTAATCAATAGCTTGTTAATCCAATTTCCTGTCCATTATGATAACTACGGTATTGCTGTAGGAGACGCAAGTCCCCTAGCTCTCTCTTAAAAAGTTTTAAAATATTAGGAACATTGTTTATAAAGGAATACTAAAACTTAAGGGAATACAGATGAGCCATTTTTTTGACCAATTGTACTTTAGTCTCAGAAACGGAATTTTTTAGCTAAGCCATCAGTAATAGTGTTCACAGCTCACCATCAAAATTTGAGTCTTCACATCCATGTGCGTTCAGAATTATCAGCGTTTGATAGTTAATAAGACAAGTCATCTTTTCTTGAGACACTGCCATATAAAGGAGGAATTATGCGATTTCCGTGCCTTTCTAGTACTTCTGAAGACTATTCACATATATTCAAGACTCTAATCAACCCTCCAAAATGGCGCATTTGTGCTTTTGAGTGTTTTCTTGTGATGGCTTGATTAGTCAGTAAGCCGTATTCCACAGTCTTATCAACTTAAACTTTTTTTCCATCGCCAATATCTTTGTACTGCTTAAATAGATCAGCGCGAAACTCTGAATAACAACTTTGGGTTTTGTCTTTTAATAATTTTGGTATTTTCTGTATTTCAGGATCTTCTGTGGGTGTTATATGATAAACAACATATACAGAAGTAAGTTATAAAGCTAATCATGTTATCTTTATATCATGTTATCTTTATCCTATATCTTGATATATTCCCTTGAGGAACCAGTCAATAGGATGCAATCTGATATGAGTTATCTCAGACAATCTTAATTACTAATTACATATACGTTATGTATTCCGGCAATATCCTGGTTCAGAATGACATAAGATTGACGGCAAGGGAAATATTTCATCTGGCAACAAATTTCATAAATTTCACATTACATAGGATTCTTTTTATCATACGTCTATCATTAAATGCATAATTTTTTTCAATTCCTTGGAACTTTTTCCATTTTCATTGTGAGATCCACCTTTTTGCATCATTTTGCAAAGTGTCCTTGTTTGTAACACTCGAGTTGTCAAGTTCAAAGAATGCCATGTTGTTCTGTTTACATGATGGATGAATAATTTGCATAGTTATAGACCTGCGTTATGAACACGAAAACAGTACTGTTGTGTGATAAAACATGCATACATGCTTATTTGTGATATTTTGGGGTTGAAATTTCTAGGAGGGAAATGTGTTTCTTTTCAATGTAAACTTACAAAAAATTATATTATTATCAACACAAAGACTATCCAAGACTAATGATACCATTTTGAGGCTGCAATTCTAATTCTCATAAAAAAAATTCAAAGAACTTTACTTTGCTCAGAAAATAGTTGAAAATTTTTCTAAATCTATAGATATAATTATTTGGATATTCTCATATTGTTATTTCAGGTATCCAATGGCGCTAGGTAACCTAGGAGATTTAGAAGAAATTAATCCAAGTCCTGGTCGACCATCTTGTAAATCATTGTATCTGCAGGCTATTGATGCTTCTAAGAAGTACTATGACAATAAACATGTCTATCCGTATACATATCTTGGAGCTTATTTATACCGTAAAAGACATTATAAAGCTGCTATTTTAGCCTGGTCTGAAGCTGCAGCTGTTGTTAGCAAGTAAGTAGAAATCTGTGTACTGGTACATAAATAGATAGATAGTGGATAACTTGATGTAGCAAATGGTTGTCTTACTATATTCAAAACAGACCATTTTTTCATAAATAAGATATTTCGCTCCCTGATTTGCACAAATATCATACAACTCTTCCATTAAAAATTTATAATCAATATAAGATGTAGTAGAAATTTTAATAAGGCAACAGTGAAGCAAAATGTGACTGATTTGGCAATTTTAAGTTAGAAATGCCACCATCTTGTAAGGGAGCTAACATATATTATTATGTTATTGTGGTCCAGTGGTAGGTTGGTTATAAATTCCTTTGGCAGTAGCTGCAGTAAACTTTGGAATTGCAGGAACCACGGGCACCAGACGAAGAACTGGAATGTCTCAAATAGCATTCAAAGGTGTCCATGATACACATAAAAAGGCTAGAACACTTCTTTACAATCCCTTTAAACCTTGGTAACTGAATATTATTTAAGCTTAGATTGTCATTTTATGATAGAAGATTGAAGAATTGTGTAATGGATTAATTAGATATTTCATGTCATCTATTTCAGTTTTAACTATAACAGACAAGATGAAGAAATTTATAAGGAATTTCTGGAAATTGCTAATGAATTTATTCCTAATATTGTGAAAGCTGTCTCTAATGAAAATAGTTCCGATCCTTTAAAATTACCGTTATTGAGAGATCCTGAAGTTTATGCGAATTTGTTACGATTTTATGATGGGATCTGTGAATGGGAAGAGGATAGTTCTACGCCAGTTCTTCATATCACCTGGGCACACCATATGGTGTTTTCTCTATCTAAATTTGATCCAAAAGTCCGTGAATTTTTAACAGTTGCCTCAGAAGGTGACAGTGATGACGATGACAATTCTGATGAAGAAAATAACGAACATGAAAAGCGTCGGGGATCTCATAGCGAGTCTAAATCTGGTCCTTCATTACGTGGTCAGCGACGCTCAGTGGGGTCAGATAAAGTTGGGAAGCATGAAAATGGGGCTAATGCGAATGACAGTGTGAATGGAAATTCTAAGGAAGATCAAATACAATCCACAATAAAAGATTTAGTCTCGAAAGTGGGTGACAATGGGAAAAATGAGACCCCAAATCCAAACATTCAAGCTTTATCGCAAGCATGTGGTGACTCTATTTTGAATAAAGATTATTTATTGGGCAGTGGTGAGCCTTTTACCACAGCTTCAGCATCTACCACAACAAATAGTACACCAACAGACTCTCGTGTGGATATCGAGGACTTTTTAAGCACCAAATCTAATGGTACGCCATTCATTGGTTTAACTATGGACTCTATGTTAAAAGCAGATAGTCCTGCTGACATGATGTTGTGTCGTAAAGACTCTGATGTGGTAGCTGACACAGACAGTGAAGGAACAAGCAATGATTATCTTTCAGGCATCAATCCTGTCTCTTTATCCTTACGAAGTGCAAAAATGAAAGGCTTGAGAAAGATTTTCACATCAGCAAAATTAAATGCTAGTGCAATTAAACTGCAGTTGACTGCTCAGTCCCAAGTTCATATGAAACAATCAAAGCGAGGTGGAGCTGAATTTGATTTGTCAGTTCGTAAAAGAACGCGACGAGAATAACTTTTCAAATTTGTTGTTGGTTTTAAGACACTGTCAAAAACTTCTGTATGCATATAAATATGAGCAATTTCCTACAAAAAATATTCCCAAACCAGTGTCTCTTTGAAGGTCATTTAATTATGTATTTGAAACACAACTATTCGTATATATAATGTTATTAAGTTTTATAGAAGCTTACCGGTTACCAACATTATAAAAGCCACATTTCCAAGCATACAGAAGTATTTTGACAGTATTGTTTGTTATATTTTGATTATCATTATTATTATTATTATTGTTTTAGGGTTATTAGAAACCTTGACCTTGCTACCACACCTTGTGGAAAATTCATTTTATCCTAAATTTTAGTTTTTCTCCACCATTTGTTGCTGATTTATGTTTACTGATTTAAAAGTGTTTTTAACTTAAAGAGATTGATTACAGAAGCATAGAAACAAAAGATTATTTACAAAATAAAAATGTAAATGTTTTTACTATAAATTGTTTTATTCAGTTACCAAGTATCTAGAGTTAAAGGGACAGATGTGCTATTTTGGGGTGTTCAATATACGTCACTAGTCTTCAGAAGTATTAGAAAATAGACGAAAATAGCATAATTCCTTCTAGGAATTTCTTTTCCTATTTCTATAGATGTCTTTTCTATATATTGTAGTATCTCAAGAAAAGACGACCAATCTTTCAAACACTTGGTCACAAATTTGAGCTGTGAACACTATTACTGATTGACTTAGCTAAAAAAAATTCATATTTCTGAGACTAAGTTACAATTTGGCCCAAAAAATGGTGCATCTATTTCTTTAAGGATATTTGGATAGTGAATTTTCGTTCCAGTCACATTTTTTTTGGAAAAAAGTATCTTAAGAATTCACATACATTATTAAAGAAACATATCAGCAATATTAAAAGTGGAGAAAGATGATGTTTGAGAAGATAATCCTGCCATTTGTACATATATTATATATAAATTGTCTATAATATTAGTCTCTGTACAGATTTTCATGCATTCTTATAATTATTGTTCAAGGGGTTTGGATACGTACCACAATTTTTGACCCTTGATCATATATATAGTTCTGTCTTAGTTGTCCAAGATATTAATCAAGGTATTTAGTAATAATAGGTACTTTATAAAATTGTAATTGCAGCATTGAGAGACAGTGGAACCAAATGGGTCATATCACTCATTATTCCTCAACACAACATTTCTTTATGGTTTTTTAATGTATAACGCTTGGAATCTAGACTTTGCAGCAATATTTGTGATGTTGTGAATCCATAATACATCATGATGATTACAACTAGTATGATCAAATCATGAATCAAATCATTGGTAATGTGAAATCATTAAATCATTATTGGTTACAGGTTGATTTATGGAACCTAAATAATTCGAATCATCCAAATTTTCCCGGTGTAAGAGATCTTAGTCAAAATCCAATCTGAATTTTTTTTCTTTCCCTTGCTGAGTTATTTTAAGTGGAAATTTCCCCTGTTCTTTCTATCTACCAAAAATATGAAAATTATTTTTTATGTACAATCAGTTTAGTGCTACTACAGTTTGCCATTTTATCTATCTTTAAGATTAGTGCTACTTTTAAATTGTTCTCTTTAAGCATTTTAGGTGCAGTTTTTGAAGATTTTAGATTATATATTATGTGACTTATAAATCGATATTTTCTAGATTTTCAAAAAAAAAAAAAGGTTTCAGTTATAATATAATAACACTTTTTTTTAAACCCTTTTTGGTGCAAAAAATATACTTTGTATATGGATAATTCATTTGAATATGAGTCTAGTTTCTGGTTAAAACTTTTACACTTGTATATGTATATCCTAGTTAACAGAATATTGTTGATTTATCTATTAAATCTAAATAGATCCCTTTTTATGGACAAAAACAGGAATTGAAGTATTTAATGTATTGTAACTTAAATATAGGTTTTAGAGCCCATGGAATACTAAAAACTTCTATTTTCTCCATTCCGATTTACCATCAAAGGTCTTTGGTTGCTATGTCAAAAAACTGTTACTAAATAGAATCAATTTGGTCAAAAAAAACAAACCACAGACACCTAAAGGGAATTTAGAATGATTAGTAGATAAGGACAGCAATTTGCAAGTTTTCCTTAAATCCTGTTGGTTGATAATGAATGGTTACTTATGTCTTTAAAATAATTATTTTTTTTTTATTGATTACAATTTAAGATTTATTCCAAGTCGGTGTTTGTAAATATAGTTTAAAAATGTATATTTTTTTTAATCCCATTTAGTCTTTTATGAACCAAACTTTTACATTAATTGTTTTTATTTTGTATATATTTATTTTGCTTGTTTTTGTTGTTAATCTGCTTGTGTTTGATTTATGCTGCAGAATAGCAATATTCTAATGTTGCCACATAAACTATAAAACTTGCACAGATTTTGGTCATATTAATTTATATAAACCTTTAACTTTCAAATTAAGGCTTCAATCAAAGTGGTAAAGCGTTGTATTTGCACATTAAATTGACCCCGTGCCATCCAATTATTTCATTTGATTGACCAAAATTAAAATTTATCACATAGATCTGAGAATCAAATTCAACCAAAGCTAGAAATATATGTCAACTTTCAATGGCGTAGTATCCATAACCTTAGGGAACTGATGTCATTGGCAAGATGGATTTGAAGTCGGCAAATGGAACATTTAAAATTGCTACTGCATGAAATTCGAATCAAAATTTAACTTAATTAGCCCAAAACACAATTGAAATTTGGTGTGATTATTTGCTAATCCTATCATATTTTCAAATTGTTGGTGAAAACTAATTTGCTTTAGAAATGGGCGACAACAGCTTTATGGAAGCCAAGATTTTTCAAAGGGTATTGACATCAACAATTCTTCTTCTTATGAAAATCCATGATGTTAGCTATACCTCTTTTTAAAGGTATTTTATCATAATGCTCCTGTAAATATTAATTACTGCTAGATGATGCAGTTAAGTTAAGTTAAATTTTTAATAACAAAAGATCATTCTCTGGCATAAAACAAATGGAACAGTTTTGTGTAATATTATTTTAGATAATAAAGCATGTTTCACACTGCTGGGGACGGGACAAATATAAGATTAAAGTCGTAGGTCTGGGCGATATTGGTTAATATCTCCATATCTATTATTAATATATCCCAATATGGGTGGGTATATATTGCTATATTTCTATAGTATGGTTTTTATTAGTGTTTGAAACAAAATGTTAATTTCTTTCATCAAACAAAACATCTGTTCAAAATATTGAGTTACTTATTAAAATTGTGCAAATGATTTTATTGAGACAAAATTCGGCTGTATATCGTGATAATTATCATATATCAATATTTCAGTATTTCTAAATGAGGCAATATTATTAATCATATAAATTTCTATACCCATATATCGCCCAGCCCTAGGTTGAAGGTAGTGTTTTTCAAATGCTTTTATCACTTGTAGACTAAGGGAATCATGCTTATCATGATATAGAAGGAGGGTTGGTGGGTGTGTGTTTGTTTGTTTGTTTATATATAAGATTGTTGTTGAGAACACTAATCCCTCCACATGCAGCTACATTAAATATTATTCTACACACAATGTTATTGTTGTTGTCCATATTATACCAGCTATGCATGAGGCATATTTTAACATATATTGTAACTCACTCACTAGGGTTTTATTGAATGTTTAAATGGACAATGTTATATCTTTTAATCATTAGGCCTTTTGAATTATTTTAAAAATGAACGTCTGTATATGGGCCCATATCCAATCCAAAATGCTCACCTGTTGTAGTTGTTATTTTTGTACTTTTACAATTCATATAAGCCAATATAGCTCAGCTAATCTTTTGCTATGACCTTGAGCATGCCTCATGACGATGTATTGTGCTAGTCACTTAGTTCCTAGTGGAATAGTGATTTATGCAAAGCCAAGCAAGACAAATTGGTCAATTCAAAATTAGAGCAAGCAGTGTTTGTGGCCAGATTGAACCATATATTGTCTGTTTTAGACTTTCATTAAAACACCCTATTTAGGATTTTTACTGTGTATATACAATAATTTGCTGTTGTCTTTTAGTTAGTAGACAAGAAAATATGTTCAGTCTCAAGGGTAAAATTTGATGTCTACAAAATTTATTCCAAATTCTTAAAGTTCTGTTTTTAGTATTCCAAAACAGGGGCAATAATTACCCACATCCAGGATACAATGCTTTTACAAGCTTTGAAGAATTAAAAAATAACCTACTTTTATGGTTTACATAGTGTTTTTGAGAGCAAAGTTTGTTACAATGTCATGATCGGGATAAGACAGTCTAAATTTCATTATTCGTTGTCATAGAACTTTGAGGCCATAACTGACTTTTTCTTGAAATTTACTTTCCAAAGAAAAAGGCAAACCCTCAGACCAGTAAGGTTATATCTACAAATAAAGGCCCTTTGTTGTCAATGAATAGATGTACATACATGTACGACCTTTTAATATATTCATAATATTTGTAATCTTTAAAAGGTAGAGGGTTCAAAATGAGTGTACACATGCGCATTAAATGCATCTAACTCTATATTGAAAAAAAAATCGATTTGTGGCCAAAACTACCACTTATGACCTTATTGTTCTATTACATCGAATTGTAGAAATATAGTTTAGTTTGACAAAAAAAAAACTAATTCAGTTGATCGGAGGTCTGAAAAGTTTAATTTTATAGGGGTTTTTTCTGTGTAATTATTTTTGATGTATATTATAAGTTTAACATGTAAATATTCGGCCTAGTTCACGGGAAAGAATCATTGTTTTTTTTAGGGGAAATCATTTCCAGTCAGTAATCAGCATGTCCACATTTCATTTGCCAACTGTCTCTGCAAATTTCAATTCTTCATGTTTCTATTGTCATCTACAAATTTTTGTCTACGTTTCAAATGCAAATGCCAGATATTAACATCAAATGATAATTTAAAACTGTTAAATAAAACATTTTGTTGATACAATAAATCAGTGAAATGCCCTGTTTTGTTATTTACTGCCAGATATATGCTGATTCAGCCAGGCAGACGAGCGTATTTTTTCGCCCGATCTCGTTGATCAAAAAATCTCCAGTGATTTTTTAAAACGGATCACATCACGAAGGGGCACGCCAAGCGAATTTTTAAAAGCGTATGTCGATCATGTGATCGGTACCAAATTTTGTTTAATGGCTGGAAATCGCCCAATAAAACACGCCGGACATGTGCAGAGGAGCGATTTTTTTTATACGCCCACTTAAAACCTAGAGCGTAGCCCGTATTGACGCACACAATCTTGTACGTCCACAATTACTCGTAAACAATCGGAGGCACAATTCTTGTGGTATTTTGACAAACATGGTGTGAGTGTTTGTAATCTCCGAAGGATAAACCCCAATGAAAATCAGAAAAATCGAAAAAAATAAGTATGAGTTATTTCCCTTGTTCTTAAACAAAAAACGCCTTAAAAGGCAAAATTCTCGATAAATTTTTCATGAAACTAGGTGAAATTCATTATTATCACTCATGGATGAACCCTGTTTAAAAAAATATTATATATGAATTACTGACCTCGTTCTTGAAAACGCATTCAATTATAAGGTCGTAAACACTATACTTCTGGCAACGATCCCCTCCATGCTATTCTTGTTGATTTTGACTAAACTTAGTCAATATTGTTCAATATCACCCCAAATATATATAACTATGTGACTGAAGGTTGGATATTTCATACTGGTGATTGTTACTGTACTGCTGAATATATTTATTCAAAATCAAAATGAAATGTATGGAGCTTTAAGTCCTAGGTTTCTGTACCAATGTGAGATAATGAAGACAGGCAACGCCATGCAGGGTGCCAGGGCAGTGGCTTGTTTGATATATGATAAATCCTGTCGGCAGCGCGGTAATTTTGTCGTAGAAGCATGGACACACGCGAAAGTTTACTCAAGATTCGAGGCGGCGACAAAAGTCGGTGATCAAGACTGTTCGTGTTCATATGTAAAAAACAATGTACGTAGAAGCGTATTGATTGGCCAATTTAAAAACTAAGTTACTTTTGAATATTCATAACCTCAGTCCCTACTACGGTTTACTTATAAAACAAAAAAGTGTTAAATAGTTGAAGAAATAGTCGTTAATTTGTTAACTATTCTGATAATTGGGACATTTCTCTGTTATTTAATTTAGCAATTCCCACTGGTACGATAGATCTACAATGTAATTTACTTTTGAGAATCGAATCTTACAGTTGCTATGTTACTAATTGAAATAAAATAATTATCAACATGCCAGTTGTCAGCCGAGAAATATAAACATACATACAGAGTGTGATCGAAATCGCTGAACTTAAGAGACGTTGATTATGTCTCTCCATAAAATGTGTGCTCAAATGTGTGTACAATCTTCATTACAGGCATTCCATGTCAAAATAGAAATGTGCCATGTCAGCAAGCCATGTCGCGTTATCAAGCCATGTTACCACACCATGTTATCAAGCCATGTTACAACACCATGTCATCAAGCCTTGTTACCAGACCATGTTATCAAGCCATGTTACAGGGCCATGTCTTCAAGTCTTGTTACCAGGCCATACCCCCAATCCTTGCTACCAGGCCATGTTTCCACACTATGCTTCCAGTCCACGTTGATTGTGAACGTTACAATAAATTCTGAAAAAGATGCATTTTCCCCTTTCCGCATAATTCAAGATTGTTTTAAAATAGAAATTACTAGAATATATTATCAACTTATGCTAGGGACAGACGAGTGTATTTTTTCAACCAACCACTTCTATTAAAATCGCCAGCGAATTTTTACGCCCTATCAAATATTTCAGAGTGTATGCCACTTGATTGGTAAATATAATGACGAACGTCACATGATATCAAGTCCGATTGGTTCAAGAAATATCGATCGACCGCGATCATGCGGTAAAATACACTTGTCTGCCCTAGTATTAGACAATAAATCAGATAAAACAAGATATTCAGTACAATTTACATTCTTCGATTGATGAAATTCAAAATGCTCACTCCACATTTCACCATTTAAGCAGATCTACAGTGTTGGCCTGGGTGCCATTTATCTCATTTCATTTCTTCCAAATTTGAAAACGAAAGATGGTTGTACGCTCTCCTGTGCCTAATTCATACCGTGCTCAAATGTTAACGCAAAATTTAACATTTGAATTATAAACTCAAGCTTAGTCTATTTCTATAAAGATTTGATGAATACCCAAAGTTGTGTCTGTATTAATACAGGTAAATAGATATTCACATTAAATATTAACGGTCTTGGTCGGAGATTGTTGTCGCCATCTAGAATCTTGTCAAGGTTATCACCGACTGACACGGGCATACGGGGAGACAAAAGTCTACATTCAGTCGTTTTCTGTTATCTCGATAATAATATACAAATGAAAGGAAAATGAATCTAATTGGATGGTGACGGTCTGGAGGTTATTATCAACTATCAAACTTTGATATTATAAATCCTGTCGGGGACGGGATGATCTTGTATTGGAAGTACGGGCACACGCGAGATTTTAATCAAGACTCTAATCGACGACAAACTTCCCCGACCAATACCGCTTGTGTACCCGCACCTTATGTGCTTGCATACAAAGTCACATTTTTTCAGAACGAATGAAGTTAATGAAGTATATAGTTATTCAAGTGATAGTTAATCTTCCAAGATGAGCGGGAATATACTGAGTCACTGATTCGCAAGTCATTTTGAATAAATAATTATTAGAGGAGGCGTAAAAATTGTTGATTTTTTTTTATTCTTCACAGGATTATCTAAATGTATAAATACTATTGGTATCCCCGAGGCATGTATCTCGTTCACTGGTCAGAAATTGGTCTGCATTCCCTTTTGTAATTAGCTTATTACAAGTTAATTAGGGACTCCTGAGATATAGATTGTATCTTAGCACGGGGAACCGTGTCCGTCCATATATATTGGGACACACATTGTTTTCTTATGAAATAATAATCTAGAAAAGGCAGGCCCGTAGCTACAAGGTGGACGGGATTCTGCCGGCCAAACAATATCATCACTGCAACTAAACTATTTTTGAAACAAAATTAAAAATGAATACTATAAATACAAGGGACTGAAATAAAACAGGTCATCATCCGTCCATGCTCTTCTAAAATTACAAACGAACTGTCTGCATTGATGTGCAAAGTATACTCTGACACCCAGAAATCTACTGTCTTCGACGACACAGCGGGGATGGCTGAAACCCAGATGTAAAGCTGGCAAAGTAAACACTTTGATGACTAATTAACAATTATTGTTGTGAACTCGAGATCAATAATTAAATAGAATTATCATTGTGTTTAGAAATAATATACAAATTTCAAATTCCTTCATAGATTCAAAGTCGTAGTCTGTAACAATGGAGTTAAAAATTAAATAAGAAGGTAACTAAGGATGAAGCTAACATCATAACTGATTTCAGACTCTTTTATTGGAATGAATTTTAGTGATTTCATTTTCTTTGACAACCTTCTTTGATTCATGCAGTTACTTAAACTTAAGGTAGTGAGACTGCAATTTCGTTCAATGGATTTGACTCTTTGCGCTTTTTTTTACTATATTTAATATCTATTAGTAACTGGCGTTTACAATTTCTCGGACAGTGTACTTTTCTCATGTAAATTGAACATGGTGATTAATCGTTGATTTTTGCTAGTAACTTTCATGAATTCTTAATGGTATTTGGTATTGCATTATGTTACATTTGTGTTTTGAATTAATCTGTGATTAAAACAATATCGAATTAATATTAAACGAAGAAAATATTTATTTTTAAAAATGTGTTTTGAGGTGATGTTTGTACTCTATATTAGTAATATGACGTTACCTTCTGTATCTCAATCTACCACAACTCAAACTCGACTAGAATGTAATCATTTAGCATTTAGTCAAGGGAATAAATCTTATTTTTATAACAACGTTAATAAAACCTGTATAATTTATCCTACTATAATATATAGGAAAGATTCATTGGTTTCACACCCTGGATTTGAATATTTTGTTGAAGACGGTAAGTTTTGGGCAGCTTTTCATTATTTAGATTCCATAATATAATTTGATTAAAGTAAGACCTACAAGTAATTTTCTGTGTTTTTTCTTGTCTTCCCCTATGATCTGGGGAAAAGCTTTTCTGATCGTGTTCAATTGAAGTCGGACCCATTTGTGTTTTTGATCAAATTTTTGTCTTTATACACATCAATGCTAAACAATGAATATCACAATATTGAATAGAACAGAAAATTACTTCTGTAACTTCTGCGACAGAGAAATTTGGACATACAAATTGCAGGGTATCCGATAGACGAACGGCAACTTTTTTTAGATTTTAATTTAAATCAGGTTTACGCTACGGGTTTTTGAAATATGTCCGGCATTTTTCGAGCCATTGTCATGATTCTCTAATTAAAATTAGATGACAATTTCGTTTTGGTTTTTTGGTTCGATCTTCATTGTAATCTTACAAGATTTATACTAAGGTTTTGACGTTCATTTTAACTAATGACAGTGCGTCTTGTAGACTCCGTGTCTAAATATCGACCATAAATTGTGAGATATCGAAACCCAAAGAAGTGCAATATGACTTCCGAAATTATGATGAATTATGAGTTGACGGGGGTGATGCGACCTTGGTTTAAATCTCGTTAGATCACAAGGGAGACCAAACCAACAACTAGCTAGTTTTCGATACAGTAGGTCCTAATATTTTATATATCATCTAGGTCCTGCTTGTGGACCTCCTCCAGTCCCAAAAGGTCACAAATTATTAGAAGTAATTGGATCTCCTGGTAATTATACAGCAAGATATAAATGTGGTCAATATTACATTCATCGTCAAATAGGCGAAACACGATGTATTGGTAATTCAGATTGGACGGAAACACCATGCCAGGGTAAGTTTAACTTAGATTTGTATTTGCTTAAAGCACTTTGAGTTTGAAAATCCAAACCCAGATTGTAATGGTTAGAATTATATATTATATTTAAAAGCATATCCGAATCATAAAAACCTCAAAAAATCAATGAAGTCTAAGAGCAATCATTGATCATTCCGGATGTGCTATGTATCCAGCGAAAGCAAATTTATTGTTTATCTAGAAAAACACAAAACGAAACTTCTTGATTTGTATTTTCAGATTATTTTTCATTTCTATTTCAGATTTTGCTTCTTGTGAAACGATAAAAGAATGTAACTCATCTTATACAACTGACGGTGAATATATTCATTATCCTGGTATCTTAAACAGTTCTTCAGTTCGTCTGTATTGTCACAACATGAATACCAGCAGTCCTAAAACCTACCTCACTCTCAATGCTACTAATGTATTTGATGTTCCTACTGGAAGGTGCTATGGAGGCCATGGATGCGAAGTGTATCCCTATACCAATCCTGCGCAAGGAAAGACAACTTTCACAAAGGTTGCTATTGATACAGAGGTAAATGAAGTGTGTTAGCCTGAACGATCTTATAAAGATGTACCGCCAAGACCTTCTTATGTTCTATGGTATCGACCTTAAAGAAGAGTCTATAAGGAGCACACAAAACCTGCGGACACCCAGTTGATCACAGATGTTAGCTTTGCAATAGAACCGAACCGATGGATGATGTGGATTTCACGTCTTATCTAAGAAGCTATACTGTATAATAACAACAAGGTACGAAGCCCCGCCATCTTGGATTGACTTAGTTTCGCTGACGGAACGATTGAACTGCCTGCACTATTTGGTACCCCAAAAAGCCTCGTGCGTCCCTTAATTCCAATGTGTTAACATAGTATCATGCTTTTTGGCGTTTTTATTAATAACCGACACAACTTTACCACAAGCTATTTCTGTAAACGGAAGCCAAAAAGTTTTGTTTCAATTTCGGCACCAACTAATTTCCAACACGCTGATTGGCCCATAATTATTAGTATCGCTCCGACAGCGATACTAGGTCAATCCAGGATGGCCGAGGCTTCGTACGTTGTTATTATTATATAGCACTACTTAGATGAGAGTGACTGTGATCCTGAGCCATGCATGTCAATTGTTTATCGATCTACAATAATTGTCTCTGAGCTTGAATGGATTCATAAACTGGGCTATAAAATCGAAGGTCCATTAAGGGCTGTTATTTTCTAGTTCCATAGTTTCTTGGTAGATTCCTTCGCAATTCTTTCATTAATTACATATTTTATTTACAGCCCATCTATCTTGATATTTTTTTCTTCAGCAAATGTCCAGCATGAACCATGATTACACATTTACCATTCAAGATTTTGGAACTCAGAGGCCGTATGGCTGGGTGTTTTGTTGTAGTCTTTCAAATATAGCCATGTGTTTGAGAGGAAGATCAACAATAGATTTAACTAATACAGGACTAATGATCAGTAACTCGGTAAGTATCCATGTACTTCAACGGAGATGCCATCTTTTCAGTGATGACAGTAAGACAGTACGATGTATAAGTCTCAGTAAAGACTGCCTGATTGTACACTGAACCTCATTGTTCGTTTTTATTAGCCAAACTATCACAATACACGAAAATAAGGAGTCAGTTACGATTCGTCTTAGAATGTTCCAAATGCATGTACTGGGCTTTAAGGTCGTTCCTGTTGGTTACTTGCTAGTTCTGTAGGTTTTTTATTGTTATTTTAAGACTGTGTCTTTTTGTAGATTCCGTTGTAATTCCTTCATTCCTACATACATGTATTTTTTTTATAGCCTATCTATTATAAAAATGAAATCTTGACTATTCTTGACTAATTGTGAGGTTTTCCAATGATAACGATTCCTAAGAATGTATCATGAGTTTGTTGTTACGAATGAACTACAATATCGGGAGTTGGTAGCCAAAACTTTGAAGAACTCAAAACATTTTGCCATGAATCCCCGATAGCTCAAGAATTGTAAGAACTAACTACAAATACATGAGAATTTAGTTAAGAATTTCACGAACTAGGAGGGATTCAACTACCACCAAGTCGTGGTATGTGTTGAACAGTAGCAATACTGCGATAAAATGATAATTTTCATATAGACAGGTCCACGAGTTTTGTTTGGAATCAGAAGCATAAAAGTTTGTTTAATACCCCCATTTTACCAAGCATATTTTGGTCCTGATAGTACCTTATCAATGATAGATTATCATTTTGTTTGATCGATTGGCTGCATTTTTAGGAAAAAGTCTGAAACCTGCGAGCACCACCGAGTAAGCTCTACCTTGTAACTTCTTAGGAAGATCTGGTATGATCGTCTTAGTCCCCCGAGGCTCCATTACCGAAAGACAACCGGCTACTTTTTTCCCATCTACTTCTCCAGATCGGGCCGATAGAAAAAAATTTTTTTTTTGTGAAATGAGGGTATAACGATCTTTTTTATCACTTGAATCGTGTTACTATTTACCAACTCGCTGTTGCGTATCACTACCCTTTGGCTTTGCAGGTGCACGGATAAGCAAAATTGTACTTTAATATACAGGATCTTTCCTCTGAAATTCGAACGTTATAATGGTTGATTTTTGAATCTTTGTTGGAAAAAAATAAGTGGCACATGATACGCAATATTTAATATTTTTACAGACATCATGGTCAAAAACCGGACATTTAAGTCATTTTACAGTAAATAGAACTGATTTTGTGGTACAATTAAGAGGTGATGGTAGTTGTGGTGGGGCTAGACCAACTGGTAACTTGATACAATTTGTTAAAGATCAACAATATGGTAAGCATAGTACATTTGATATAAATTAGATGAAGACGGTTGTTCATTAAAGCACGTATCTTCAACACGTTTGAAGGATCAGACTTAGAAACTCGAAAATTGGGCTTCGCGTAGCTCGCAAATCCGAGTTGGAAACTGAGAAATCCGAGCTAAGATTTCGAAACCCAACTTAGTATCTTCATAACCTATTGGCTTGATTCCTTCTCTGGAGTACCAGTTACCATCAGAAAACTGTTAATTGTGTCTACTGAAGTCGAAGTCTGGTCGCTGGATCATGTCAAGTATTGTCTAATGCCCCAATAGCATAGAAAGGTAAACAAAGCAATACTCGCCTGAAAGCTTATTGAAATATCTGGATATCTCGATAGAATTTTAACCTATAGTTGATAGTGGATTGGATAGTGAGATTTTAAACCAACTTGAATATTCCGGTTCTGGTTTAGAAAACTATTCTGCAATTCCTAACAGGAGTTTTTTTCTATTCCGATCCAGATGATATTGCATATTCATGACACAACCACGCGTTAGCTCTGTTTTTAAGTAAGACCTGGCAAAGAGTTCCAACATAAAAGTTTTGGATACTATGACATGGCCATCAACATTAATGTGCTATATTGAATACCCGTGGCAAATTTCATCGTTATACTTAAGTCTGACGGAAGGGTACATGTCTTTTTAGGGGTTCGCTTAAAAAAAGATCTGCGACAAACAAAAAAATATCGTAAGAACCATCACGCAATACTGTCTTAAAATCTGTTGTTTCTGAGATCTGAAGTCGTATTTTAAAACATTGTTTTAAGAACCCACCAATGGTTCACTATATCTAAATACTTTCTTTGTTGTTTTACGGTTTAACACATAGAAATACAACAACGTAGAACGTGACGTAGAAGTAACGTAGAACAATGTAAAACGTAATGCTTTTTCACGTTTATTTTTCAGTTATGCCAGATGATACTATAGATCCACAATGTAGTTTACTTGGTATATAGAAATACCAAACACCTACAAACTAAGTGTGACTTTTGGCATTGATACCCCGCCATAAAACGTATCACTGAATTTTATGGTATATTATGTCACAAATAGATATACATAAGGGACAGGTGTACTATTTGGGGGTGGGGGGTTGATTTGGGTCTTGACTTTAGGTAAATAGTCTTCAGAAGTACTAGAAATGTATGAAAACTGCATAATTCCTTTAAAAATACTTCAAACAAGAAATTTTACTCATTATTTCTGTTTATGTCTTTTCTATAATCACGAGTCGTCAATTTATAATTCAAACGCAGATAATTCTCGCCACACAAGGATTCGAAGAATAAAATTTCGACGGTAAGCTGTAACACTTTTACTGATCGGCTTAGCTAAAAAATTCCCGTTTCTGAAAGCAAAGTATGATTGGTGCAAAACATTGCACAACAGCCATTCAAACAGTGAAACTGTATAACTTTTATTTTATCTGCACAATATAGATTCTCTTGATTCACTTTTTTTTTATTTGCAATAGAAAATGGTTTTGTATTTGATCGTGGTAAAATAAAGTAATGTTGTTGTCCAGCTGAGAGAGTTCAATATTAGCTAAATTTAGCGAACATTTAGTTTATTTCCCTAAATAGAAATGTTAGAACGAATATTCTAACAGTACTCATTTTTATAAATTTGTTTTTTAGACAAAATTTTATTTAATTCATGGAATTGGTCGACCTATGCATCCTCGTCGACAGAAAATCGCGGTTGCCACTAATCTCTGACGATATAATAATATATAATCTATATATTGATTTCTTTTTCAAGGGAGATAACAACAATTAGCATATCGATCTAAAAATCTCAAAGGACTTGTTAATAATACAATAATACAGGACAATTTCCACCTCGGTTTTTTAAAGCCTACAATTTTTGAACAAGAAATTAAAACTTTCGGGTATCTGTAGCATGAATCAGACCTTTCCATTTATATAATATGATAAAAAAGTGAAGTTGGACAGTTTAGAACAATGTTGTTTTTTTAACTCCGTTACTCGGATAGAGAAATACTTTAGCATTTGGACCCCCACTGACACAGTCGCTATCTTTATTGTTTACCTTCTACGCAAGTATCATTAATCATTTTAATACACATCAGTGAGATTATGTCTAACCAAGGATGAAGAAATATTTTCACTTTTCCAAAACATTGATACACTAAACAATATTTCATTTCCTTTTTATACGCCCACATTATAATGTGGTCGTATATTGTCGTCACCCCTGTCCGTCCGTCCGGACGTCCACAATTGGCTTGTGAACGCAATAGAGACAACAGTTTTTATCTGATTTGAATGAAATTTGGTGTGATCATTTATATTAATGAGATCTTTGACAAGATCGAATTTAGCTATGTTCGATGAAAAGTTTTTGAGTTATTGCCCTTGACTTATGAAAAACGCGTCAAAATTTGGTTGTGAACACAATAAAGACTACAGTTTTCATCCAATTTGAATGAAATTTGGTGTGAATATTTATAATGATTAGATCTTGGACAAGTTCGAACATGGCTATCTTTCGATGAACGGCTTTTGAGTTATTGACCTGCCTTATGAAAAACGCGTCAAAATTTGTTTGTGAACACAATAAAGACTACAGTTTTAAATAAAATATCAGAAATTCTGAATAATGTTCTACGGCAGATGTTGCTATTGTTCTAAACTAATGATGTCTTACGTGGAATTGAGTCTTCTTTAAATACACCAGCTAATGCGACATCATTTATAAATATGTCGAGATATTGTGTCCGGGCGGTGGCGAGACACAAGTTAAAATATTCACATGATTTTTTTAAGGGTCGTTTGGAAATCCAATCAATTTATATCAATGGTATTTATGGCTATCAACTAATTTTAAACTTCCTCATAGGTCATTAACAAGTTGATATTACAGCGACAGGTGCGCAATTTTATTTTGGATGAGGGGGGGGGGGGGGGGGGGGGGGTGTAA